CACAACCCAGTGAGACAATATGACTAAGTTCAAAATTGTCCAAAATTCACCATCAAATGCTACACTCCCATAAAGAGACCTACCCTGTATCTTCACATCCACTGCAGTTCCTTTCAGTGAACTGAACTTGTCCTGCAAAGAGGGACAGACCCTGTGGAAAAACAGCAAAGTCAGTCAGGTGGCTTGACTTGCCACTCCTCCAAACATACTCTCTAAACAGAGAATTACCTATACATGCTAAATGCCAATGAAAAACCACTTTTAAATGATTCATTTGATATCATTTGATTCTTAACATCAATTATTATAGGAAAATACTTGAGACAAATTTCCCTCAGAAATGTGAATACTCAAGGTTCTCCCACACAAAAAAGTGGTGGGTGCAGGGCTAGAGAGATGGCTCAGAGGGTAAGAGCACTTGGCTGCTCCTCCAGAGGTCTTGAGTTCAATTCCCAGCAACCACATGGTGGCTCACAACCATCCGTAATGAGATCTGGTGCCCTCTTCTGGCCTGCAGGCATATATGGAGGCAGGATGTTGTATTTATAATAAATAAATCTTTTTTTTTAAGTGATGGGTACACAAGGGAAGAGGTAGCCATTTGCAGGAGACTCTGGAACCTGACAGTTTGGCCTGAGTCACTGAGGTGCGTGGGGAATTCATTTCTTATTCCAGTCCTGGGCATACCAGTCACCAGTCCAGTTCACTCCTTCTCAGTTTGCCAGCCCTGAAAATAAGGCCTTCCGAAGAACCATGCAGCTTCCTTGGCCAATGTAACCTATGCTTCCACAGGATTCTATCCTCTTGGGGAGAAAGCTGGCTAAGGCCAGAAACTGGCTTTCCCTTAGGTATTTCTGGAGTCTAGCACATCTCTAAGCAATGACCAACAAAAAAAGATGCCAATGAGTATAAAATGAAGGAACAATGGTCACCTCTACCATTAGTAAACACCATGCTACACTCTTTTCTGAGAAGGCAATTTTACACTTTCCTTTTTGTTATATTTTGGTTTTTGTTTTTCAAGACAAGACAAGTTCACACTATGTATGTAAACATGGCTGTCCTAAAACTCACTGTGTACACCAGTCTGGCCTCAAACTCCCAGATCCACCTGACTGCTTCCCAGATTGGGGAAGGTGGGTGCCACTGAGTTCTGCTTCATTTTACACTTTTCAAAAACCCCAATTCAATATACAGTTTAAAGGAGGAATGAACCTACACATAGGATCCCAATTTTAGTTTTTAAAAAAGTTTATTGCTACATCACTCCCTCCATTCCTGCTCATGCTGTCTATGCTGCTTTTGTGCTACTCTGGCAAGACTGAGTTGGAGCAGCTTCTAACCCTTCATAGAAAAAGCTGAGATCTACTTTGAGACACTTCAAAGCTCCTATCTTGAAAAGGGCTCTCTGGTCATTAGGCTGTGCAGCCCTGGCCTTGACAAAGGCACCTAGATAAGCATAACAATGAGGCCCTCAGTAAGCATCTGGGTAGAACTGGTTTCACAGACAACTTCAAGGAAGAAATCCTCCAACAACTCCCATTCTGTTGGAAAGACCTATTCAGCCCAGAGCTCCATCCCTGGTTTGGCTCTGAAGCCCTGAAATATGCTTTTGCCCCCTCACCAGCCCAAATACTTAGTCACCTTTACTAAGAGCTCTGGATGTAAGGTAAAGCAGGCACCCCACAGAGAGGAAAATGTTCTTTTATAGGACTTTGGGAGCCTTGACTACCTACTATTGTCATCACCTTAATTATGTGTGTGACCTGGGCCACACTATCTGAACCCTGCTGACCCAATATGGTGCAAAAGGACACAGTGACTGAACAGGACTGAGTTTTTTCCTCCCTTAGGGCTATACATGTCCAGGGGTTGCAGCAGAGACAGTGCTGGGCACAGGCTACCTTAGAAGCACTGCCCCCAGGACACACTAAGAAAAACCCTGGTTCTTTGCAAGTTGGGGTAAGGAAGAACAATCTATGATGCTGTTTTCTGTCACTGGGTTTTTGGACAATGTCCCTCCCTGATCATCAGGTGGCCCCAGCAAGCCAACAGTAATCACAACTCAGTAAACATGAACCACATCAAATCCCTCAACACAACTGAAAGTCCAGGTGGCCTGATGCAGGAAGGGCTTTCAGTAAAGGTCATCTTGTACTACCAGAGCCACCTCCCCACCATCTTGGTCAAGAGTCTGTAGCCAGCACTGTTAACGAACCAGCTGCTCTCTTGGAGCTGGCTGGGTTATGGAACCCTATGAGAGGACACATTCCCATCTCCCCCAGAAGACACCCCAATGGAAAGGGAAAGAACACAAGACATTACCATATACACATCCATTCCAGTATGTCCAACCGGTACTTTGAGGGCCTACACAGCAGTTCCAGAATTGTCTTTGGCTCTGTAATATACAGACCATCAAGGAAGGGGCAGTTTACACCCTAAGCAAGGAAAAGGAAAGTCAGAAGGAAGCCTCTTACCATAGGGTAGCAATGCATTTCTGTCAGTTTGTGCTCAGGACCCCTTCCTGAACCTTCCACACACTTCCCCCCACCAAGAGTCAGCCAAAAGCACCTCCTGGTCTTGCCAAAAGTTCAAATCCCTCTCATTTTCACCCCCAAGTCCCCTGGGACTTGCTGCCCCATCACTTTTAAGTGTGTTCCCTCTAGGTTCCATGGCCACAAAACTATGAAAATGCCTAAGAGTGTGTTAGAAAAACTAAGGCTAAATCTGAGGAGCAGTAGAGGGAGACTGAAAGTGATTGCTGAGTCAGGGGCAAAGGGGAGAAATTGAAGGGAGGTTAGGAAGGCGGGTAATGGACCTGGGACAGCTCCCCGACTTTACTGTCATCTTCCAGACTGCTGCATGTACCTTAAGCCCACCTGGATACCTGTCTCTAGCACAACAAAATGGCAATGTGTTTGCTGTCCCCCAAAACCAACTCCACCCACTTCTAGCTCTTTGAGATTTGGACCTGCGTCCTCCATTTCTTCACATGCTCCAAGCTCCCAGTCTTGATCTTGCAAAGTTCTGTGGGAACTGCACGAGCACAGGTTCGGGAACCCCAAAATGGTAAGTTGGACGATGCACAAGTCACCCCCAGGGCTCTGCCAGAACACACCAATGTGGATCCCTGTGTTGTGGCCAATTTTCACAGGAAGCTCCCAAAGGCCCCGAGGCAGGGTCCTGCCTAGTCTCCCACCCTGGAGTCCGTGGCTCACAGTACCTTCAGCTTCTCGAACACCTCCACAGCCGCCTTGACCACGCGGTCATCACCCACATCTTCGTAGTAGCTGTCACCAGAGCCGCCACCAGCAACGGTGGCTGCACCCTCCTCCGCCATGTTTTGCGTTCTGAACCACAATCGGTTCACGCCCCCAAGCTTACAGGCCGCAGCCGCAGCCGCAAAGCTGAAGGCACAGCAGTGTCTTGGGTCTTCCGCCCACCAGCCCGCGCGTGGCAGGAACTAAGCCACCCGTCAGACTAGAGGGCTCAGAGGCCCACCCTCTTTCTCATTGAGCCTTCCTATTGGACTGCAGCTCGGCCACTGTCTGCGCGCGCCTCAGGGAGCAGAGTGCAGCGAAGTGGATAGGGCAAGGACAGGACAGAGGCGGGCTGAAGGCAGGGCAGGAAGGGGCGGGGGAGGGGCGTCGGTGCGTCTAAGTGGGACGGAGTAGGACTTATCAAAGCTTTTTTAGAAGGCAAAAGCGCGGGACTCCTAGAGGATAGGCTTTTCCAGGAGGGGGCGCTCCTGCCTTGTTCGGGTTCTCTTTGGGAATAGCAAATGGGACTTGAACGAGGAAGGCAAGCTTTGGTAGAAGAACTAAGACAAGCAATCCATCTCCTGGCCCAGAGTTCTGTGTTTTTTCCTTTGCACACGAAGTCAAAGAGAAGGTTCTTAAATTCAAATCTGGCTCTGCTACACAGTAGCTGTGTAACTTGTTTTTGTTTGTGTTGTGTGTTTTGTTTAGGGACTTTTGAATCAGGATTTGGCTTTGTAGTTTACTAATGAGGATAGCAAAAGGCAATAATTTCTATGAAATTCCTAAGGCAGAGCCTGACAGGTTAAAAGTGCCTGCAAGTGTTCACTGCTGTCATTATGCTGGGTCCCACACCTCTTTTTACCTTTGGCTTTCATGGATGCTCTTGTGCCTCATTTCTGCCCACTTAAAATCTCTCTGTATCTCAGGTCTTTCAAGCTCAACACATTTGGACAAATATTAGTCAGCCCCCCTTATTACTAGAACTCCAAAATCCCAGTTTGCTGTCATTCCAAGCCTGGATTAGGTGACTGGATAAGAAGGAATTGAAGTGAGGATGTTGCTCAGGAGTCAAGATCCACTAACCATATATTGCACTCAGTGTGTAATCTTCTGTGCATTGTAATGCCATCTCCTCAAAGAGGGATCATGGAGGCAAATCAAGAAGCAAGGAAAAACCAGGTGTGAGGCACATGCTTGTAATCCCAGAACTTAAATGTGGACACAAAAAGATTACAAAGTCAATGCCAATCTCAACTACATAGTGGAATTCCAGGACATCTTGAACTGCTTGAGACAATACTCAAAAAACAAAGAAACAAACAAAAAGAGGCATAGAGTCTGGGAAGGTGACTCAATCAGTGTTTTGCTTTTGTTTTTATTTGTTTGTTTATGGGTTATTTTGTTTTGTTTTGTTTTCAAGTCAGGATTATGAGCATGCCTATAAACTCCTCACTGAGAAAATGATTGTACCCAGATAAGCTTTGGGTTCAGTGAGAGACCCTGTTTCAAAAATAAGGCAGAGGGATGGAGAGATGTCTTGGTTATTAAGAACACTGCTGCTCGCCGGGCGGTGGTGGCGCATGCCTTTAAACCCAGCACTCAGGAGGCAGAGGCAGGCAGATCTCTGTGAGTTCAAGGCCAGCCTGGTCTACAGAGCGAGTTCCAAGACAACCTCCAAAACAATACAGAGAAACCCTGTCTCGAAAAACCAAAAAAAAAAAAGGAACACTGCTGCTCTTACAGAGGACCTAGGTTCAGTTCCCACAACCCACATGGCAGCGCCCAGCTGTCTGTAACTCCTGTTCCAGAATACCTAATGCCCTCTTCTGAACAACTTTGGCACTGCATACATATGTTTCATAGACATAAATGTAATTAAACACTCATGGACATAAAAATAAATATTTTAGTTCCATCCATTTGCCTGCAAATATCCTGAGATAACCCAGACCCAGAAAGACAAATATATGTACTTACTCATAAGTGGATACTAGATATAAAGCAAAGGACAACCAGCCTACAGTCCACAACCCCAGAGAACCTAGATGACCCCTAAAGAGACACACATAGATGCACCTAGGAAGGGGAAATAGACAAGCTCTCCTGAGTAAATTGGGAGCATGGGGGCAGGGGCAAGATGGAAGAGGGGAGAGGAGGAGGGAAGGGGAGGGGGGAAATATATAGCTCAATAAAAATGAATAAATATTTTAAAAATAAGGTAGAGAACAATTGAAAAAGACACCCAACATCAATCTTTGGCTTCAATATACCCACATACCCCCATATATATACATACCAGAGTGCTGGGGGGCAGTTGTTGAGGGAGAAGTTGTTGCTCGCAAGCAACTGAAATCCTCTGACTAGAGAGGTCTCTCGGTAGAGTCCTGGAAGAAGGGAACAGGCAAGAGCTTAGGGCTAGCAGAGAGTCCCTAAACTTGCCCTGCTGAGAAGCCAGGGCCTAATTCCTTAATAATAACTTGAAATGTCAAGTTCTTCAGAAGATACAACATGGAGCCTCCCAACCTGAGCTGAAGAAATCTGGGAAGAATAAGGCCCAATGACTTGGCTCAGGGGTCCATTTCATAGCAAAGTACTTTAAGGCCCCTTTGTATCCTCCACAAGGTTGCTGCCTCAGATCTTTATGTAATACAAGGGTGGAAGGGGATTTTGGTGGCTTATTCTTCCTTTTTTATTTTTTTTTTTTGCTTGTTTTTATTTTTTACTTTTTCCTGCCTTTTTCTGTTTCTGTTATTTCTTCCATTCTTTTTAGAAAATTTCATTTCAATTATGAGCCCAGCTCAGACATTCAAATTCTTGTGGGTTTTTACTGTGGATCTTTCCTAGGACTGGGGAATTTGGCGGGAGAAACCACTGCAGTGTGACTGCCTCCCTCCACCCTCCCCATATCCTCTGTTCCTGAGGAACGGAAAAGAAACCAGCCCCTGTGTATTCTGGAAGAAAATCCTTCTTCTCCACCCAGTCCCAGGGAGCCAGGGAACTGAAAAGGTCTTTCCCCAGCTCAGCAGCTTTTTCTATACAGCTCCAGGTGGGGCCTGAGGAATTGGTAGGGCCTGGAAAAGCAAAGTTCATCCACAGCCCTGGAGGCTAGCCTCCTGCACCAAGGCCACAGCAGCAGGGGGCAACCTGCCTTCCAATTCAGTCATGGTACTTCTCAACCATCCTCCACTGGAGATTGGGGTGGAAATGTAAAGAGCCATGGGACTGCTCACCAACAGGAAAGGAAAGGCCCAGTCATAGAAACTTCTGGAAATATAGACTCAAACTCAACATAAGGAAGCATATCTCCAAAAGAACCTTGTCTAAACATTAGCTAGTTACATCTTGGAAGGTGTTTGTGCCAAGCAAGTGTGTAGATACATGGGGATGGGTTCCTACAATGGAGGACTGGGGAGTGGACAGACCTCTAAGAGCAATCCTGCCCAGAGAATGTTAGTTTTATAAGGGAGATGGGATGGAGATTAGGCATCAAGAGCCCATAGTCATGGGGCTAAAAGACCCTAATGCCTGAATTGGGGGAGGGGTTATGGATAGGGTGGAGGGCTTTGGACAGAATGAGGATTTATAGGAAGCAAGAGCCAGCCCATGATCATGAGAAAAACTTGGTCATGGGTTGCAGCAGGGCCTAAGCCATGTGTCAGTGCTTGGCACATAGGTTGGAAAAGGAGAACCGTTGACAGGCACCAGCCCCACATTGCCAAGGATAGTTTGGCAGACTGTGAAGGCATATGAGACCCTTCCTTCTACTTGTGCAGTTGGGCTCCTGAAGTAGGCATCCTTGCCACAGGGCATTGGGCTGACCCTGGAGGATATCAGGACAAGAAAATGTCTTGGAGCACTCATGCTGGGCTCCTATGGAAACCTTAGCTGGGACCACCAGTGGAATATTACTATTAGAGGAGACTGAAGAGTGAGGAAAAAGACAGACTGCCTTCTGCTGCCTCTGTCATGGAATAGTAGAAATAGGCCCTCCTGAGACAGAGATGCTCTACAAAGGTACTGACACGTTAGGCTAACTCGGGGCCAGGAGTAGTCACAGGAAGCCTTCAAGGGACCAAGGCAACCTCCTCATCCAGATCATCCATCCCTGAAGCTCCCCAAGAAGGACCATGGACACCAAATTCAGACTCAGAGAAATGGCAAGCATGGTGTAGAGACACATGCCCTTAATCTCAACACTCAGGAGGCAGGAGCAAACAGATCTCTGTGAGTCTGAGACCAGTCTGCTCTATATAGTGAGTTCCAGGACAGCTGGGGCTGCAGAGAGACTGTGTCTCGAAAGAAAGAAAGAAAGAAAGAAAGAAAGAAAGAAAGAAAGAAAGAAAGAAAGAAAGAAGTTAAGAAAGAGCAAGTAGAGTACTGAGTGCGTGGGTATGCCCACAGATATGCTTGCTTCAGGGAAAGAAATGAGGCCCAGTAATCAAGTCAGGCTGAGAATAACCCAAGTCGGGACTCCAGTGGGTTTCCAGACCAGTCCTTGGGCCAATAAGAGTCTCTAGGGTGGGCCCAGCATTTTCTCAGGTGTGAACAGAGCCTGTGGGGCAGTATGTATACCCAAGAGAGTGCACCTAGCCCCACAAACTGGTAGTAGGAGTAGCCATGAGAAGGGGGAAACAGAGTTGTATGTCCTCCTTCCGTAGGCCTAACAATTTAGGCAAGAACTGGACCCCTGTGGACTGTTGCACTCAAGCACACGCCTCCAAATAACCCTCTTTACTATGCCTGTGAATGCACAAAACAGGGGATGGGGTGCACAGCTGCACACGCACCGGGCTCCGCCAAGGCTGATGAGGAAACAGCGGCAGCAGCAGGATTACCCCCTCCACAGGGAGACTCTTGGGTCTAGACTTCTTGGCAAGGCCAGCAGGGTTGAGTCACATGTGTCTGGAGAGAGAAATGCGGGCGCCAGGACTGGAACACAAACGTGCCCACTCAGGGGCCGCCAGGGAGGGGGTGCTCGACTTCAAAATCTCACAAGTCTGTATTTTCTCCCAGCCAAGCCCCAGTTTCTGTCTAGCTTCTGGCCTGTGCCTGAGGCCCACCTGATGGGGTGAAACAGCTTTCATAAAGAGTCAAATGGAGCCCATGTTTTGGGCAGGGATCAACTGGAATTTCAGTCTAGGAAGGAAGATGAGAAAGTGGTCCCAAAGCCCCCCCTTGCTGTATGGTGCCCTCTCCAAACCCCCTTCCACTGGCACCCTCCCCAGGGATACCCAGACCCCATCACCAGGGACACCCAGACCCCATCCCCAGGGACACCCAGACCACATCCCCAGAGACACCCAGACCCCATCCCCAGGGACACCCAGACTCCAGCCATAGGCCTTGGGCCCTCTTCCCTGCCTGTCAGTGCCGTGTTCCCTCCATTATCTCTCCAGCTATCTTCCCAACAAAGGTTCTGTTCCCTCCCTCCACATCTCCCATTCTAATCTCAGGCAAGGCAGCCCAGACGATGGCATGAGTGTGAATGTGAATGGTCTTCTGTCTACATTGCTCACAAAAGCATCTGCAAGAGTGCTTCTTTAATTGGGAGCAGATCCTCTGAGGTTTCAATGGTATTAAAATAAGCTAAGTTTCCTCTAGGGAAGGGTCACTGCCAGCAAGAGCAAGGCACAGAAAGTTTTACTTTTCTCTTCTGGAAGCTTTAAGGGGGAAAGGCCCCTGTATCTTTACTGGCATAAAACAGTTGCCTGCATGTGCCCTGAGACCTGCCCACGTGTATATATGTAGACCTGGTATTCTTGTGTGTTTGTGCATGCATGAGTGTGCATATGAGAACAAACACACACACACACACACACACACACACACACACACGTGCGCATGCACACGCACGCTCTGTTGTACCCAGATAAAATGTAAAACACCAAAGAATGTTTCTGCTCTCTGACTGGGGTGCATGAGCTACCAAACCATTGTTCTTCCCCACACCCTCGCAGGAGTGAGGGTACATGGGAGAGACTCCATGCACTTAGAAAATTCCAGAACTCCCTGTATAGAGTGACAGTGTAGCAACAGCTACTAATATAATGTTCCCAAGCTCCAGATACTTTCCTGACAGAAGCTTGGAAGTTTGCTAATCGTCCTTGCAATCCAGCCCCTAAGCCTAGGCAGGTGTGCAATTGATACTCTTTTTCACCCAGGGCAAGCTGTGATCAGCTTCTCCCCTTAGACAACTCAGTCCCTCACACCTATTTCCACCTCTGTCTTTGTGACCCCAGTGGGTCTGTGTTGCACCTGGCTGCCAAGGGCTAAATCTACGAGTTGAGTTGTGCAATTCTTTTGCTAAGAAGTTCCTGGTGTCTCTGTTTTCTTTGAGGACAAAGGTAATATTTCCTGGTCACCTTTGACACCTTTCTCAAGCAGACCTTCCTGTCCTTTCCCAGTTTTAGGCCCTCACTCAACCTATTTCACTATTCTGCTGTTTCTAAATTTGAGTCGAACTCCCCCAACTCAAGGCCTTTGCACTGACCTGTCTTCTTTTTTGAAGGGCTCTTTACCAGTGTCCTATTTGCATGGATTTCTCCTTTTCATTCGTATCGCAGAGCAAGTTGCTTTTTCAAGGCCTTCAACAGATTTCTGTCAAAAACACTGCTTCCTCTAACCTCCACTTGCAGAGGCTCAAGAATGTTTGGTGAGAAGACTCTGTTGTCCAACCCTTCTGTGATGAAAGAAGAGTCTTACGGTTGTACATCCTTGTGGAGACTTGGGGTACAAAAGCTCTGCATATGGGAAGAGGGCCGTGTGGGAAGGGAAAATGAAGTTAGCAGGAGACCCTTGGAATTCGGGAATTGTGCAGCTAGAAACTATGGTGTTTATATAGAGCAGATTCTTCCCCCGGCCTACAATCTGTTTCTACAGCTTTCTAAGAAGTGCTTGTCTGCCATATTGAGGTTGAGAGACTGAAGCACTGAGCAGGAATTGCTCCTGACATTTCAGGACCACTCAGTCCATAGCAGAGCATTGAGTCTGAAGCCCTTTACAGCAAGCCCCAGGCCTCATCCTGTTTCCTGAAAAAATCCCAGTGTCCCTCCCGCCCTCCTTTCCAGACAGGCTTAGAATCAGTGCTGGCCTGGGGCCCTGGCTGGCTCAGCCTGAGTAGAGTCTGAGTCTGCAAATGAGCTCTTGGGGAGAGGGGAGGACAAAACCAAAACTTAATGGGAACTGCTGGTTCTGTTGAGCCTTGCCCCACAATCTGGTTCTGCCCTGCAGGGTTGCTTCATGGTTCCAGAGATGTGTGGGCACTTTGGCTGGACAGAGTAGGTTGCAGAAATACCATTCCCCAAATGCTCACCTGGATTGGTCACTGCACTTCCAAACCAAGAGAAGGGCAGCCAAACCAAGGCTCCTTAGGAGCTGAGGAACTGGGAGCACCTCAGACCTTGGGCTTCCTGCCTAGGTGGGGAAGAGTGAGTATCCCTCCTGTCTTCCAGGCTGTCTGTGTCAGAGAAACCTGGGAGCAGACTTCTCCCCACCCCCATCCCAGCTAATGGGAACCAGATGGCAGGATGTTTAGTCAGAGCCTGGGGAGCTTCAAGAACAGGGGAAATGGGTAGGGGGTCAGGATTCCAGAATCCATCTCATTTTGGGGGAGGGGCAGCACCAGGAGCATCAGTAGGGACCCAGATTCTAGGCCCACCTCTGTGATGACTAGATCAAAAGGTTCTCAGACTAGAGTGGGCCTTCCATCCTTTCTCTGTAAAATGGTGATGGTGGAGGGGTGTTCCCACTCTCTGACTTTCCAGAATAAGGGAGGACTTCACACTTCAGCCCTCTCAGACATGAGAGGTCCCCTTCTTCAACTTCAGCAATGGCCTCCCAGACAAAAGACTAGGCCTGGCCATTCTCTGTCACCCACAGGGTGCATAGTCAGACATTGGTCTCTTCCCTGCCTCCTCAGACAGTCCCGCTTTCTGATTTGCATGTGGCATTGTCACAATTTTCAGGTCATAAACAAGAACCCTGCATGGAAGGAGTGGGGGAAGGGCTGTGAATGGACTTTGTGTGGTGTAGAGTGTGGGCCCCTCCAGAAGAGTGACTCCCAGGTCCCTCTTTCACCAACCACAGTACAGCTGCTTCACTACACTCAAGTAGAGAAATATTGAATAGCCCAGTGAAAATCTACTTGCCAGAACTCCTTCAAACCTCAACTCCTGTGCCTGCCACTCTCCCAGGACCTCTCACATTGTCCCATGGCCAAGGACAGTGACTAAAATATGCAGACAGAGCTAAGGCTGTAGTCCTTCTTGGTCTCTGCCCTTCCCCCACTATTTGCCTGTCTCCTTTCCATCCAAGCCTTGCCCACAATTAACTCATTTTTTCAGATCACTTCCAAACATAATTCAACACTGGACAGAGCTGTAGGAAAAGTTTCCTCAATGCTGGCCCTAAACATCTGAGCCCTGTGGCAAACTGTGCTGCCTGCCAGCCCCAGGTGCCTGCCCCCTCAGCTCCCAGCTAGGTTTAGAGCTGGGGCTATGGAGACACCCAGTGACCAGTGTCCAGGCCAAATGTTGGAGCAGAGATTGGTGATATCCCCCAAGGCATGTTTAAGGGTTCCTTTGCCTATGCCCAGCAGCACCTTCATTCAGGCCCAACCTCCTTTCTGCCTGGTATCATCCTAGCCCAAGGAGCCCCTCAGATCTACCTGGTGTTAGGGAGGTACAGGAGTGTATGTGAACTGTGACTCTGGACCAAGAACTCTGGGAGTCTTGTAAGATCGATACACCCAGGCAGTGCCTGCTTCAATACATTCTAATGGGGGACACAGGGTACATATTGCCCCCCATTTCACAGAGGAGAAAGCAGAGGCCTGGAAGAAAAGGAAGTGACAGAAGCACCAAGAGCCAGCCCTATCCACAGGGAGGCCAGTATCCAGGAAGCCCAAAGTCTCTGTTGTCTGTGGAAGCAGGGGTGGGGGCAGCCTGTCTGCTTCTATCTATAGCACAAATCCATGCATGGTTCTGTGAATACCAGAGTCTCCACTGCCCCAGACATCCCTGGCACCTGCCCCATCTTCTGAGGACCCAGGGAGTCCCTGCCCTTCTCTTTTCCCTGCCATGAAGGTGGGACCTGGCAGCCTATGGTGGATATCCTGCCATGTAATGGGCCTCATAGGCCCACAGTGTATGGAAACAGATGCCCTATTCATGGAGGCACTGGGCCTTGGCCAGTGCAGAGTCAATGAGGGCCTTACAGAGAAAGCACAAGCTCTTGAATCCAGGAAAGAATCCCTGTCTTTCTTCTCAGGTGGAAGCAGTGGACATTGTGGGGAGTTAGGAACAAGGTATTCATTGGTTTGGTAGAAGGGAGGTCTTGAGAAAGGAAGGAGAGACAGAGTAGGCAGTGATGGCTCCTAGAAACAAAGCCAGGGCCGGGAACTTAGGCAGACAAAGCCTAAGGCAGTCCATGGTCCTCAGAGTACCCTTACTGGAGGGTAATGAGTGTTGAAGACTTTGGGAGGCTTTGTGTCACTGCATAGGATATGGCAAAAGGGGAAAGGACTACAGGAATGGATCAGGGTTTGCTGGTAAGGAGTTCATCTGGCTGCTTCAACACCTACCAGAACAGGAAAATCTTGGGAGGTTGGAACTGTGGGAGGTGAGGGGTTTTGCAGGCAGATCTGGGCTTAATGGGTCCTTAGACAAGGACAATGGGTGAGAGCTACTTAGTTCTGTGTTTGGTGGCCCTGTCCTAGGCCTAGGGAGGCAGGAGGAACAAGATGGGTGGTCTAGGCCCTCATCCTATTCCCTAAACACAAGGAAATGAGAGCCCTCTGGACTACTTCTAGGACATGTGAGTCTCCAGAAATTATCACTCTTTCTTTAAGGTGGCTGACAGCCCCTTAAGACAGGCTTCAAGCTTAACTATCCCACAACAAGTCCTGCCTCCCAGCAGGTACTGGGGCTGCCACCTCCAAAAGTGAACTGTGCCAGATGACAATAATGAGTGTCTCCACACATAAGGCTCCTGCTTCAGCACTGGGTAGGGGCACAGAGGCAATGCTCTCATCCTCTACCCTTGGGAGGCACTGAAGAAGAGGGACTGAGAAGACATCTGACCCAAGATCTGACTAGGCTGAGATCTTCAATGAAGAACAAGAAAAGCTCCCCTTGTGAGCTGGGAGCCAACTTGCATCTTGTCCCATTGGATTTGAAAAGCCTCTAGTGGAAGCACTACTTCATTTCTAAGAGGCAGGGTAGGCAGCCAATGGCATAGGATGGCACTCTGCTTGCTCCTTCATTCTCCTGTCCAAAAGAAAGAATGGCAGTGGAAGGCTTGGAGAGAAAGGTAGCTGCGACTATTCTACCATGAATATCCCATGGCAGGTGAGGGCTAGACCTGTAAGTCAAGCCTATGTTGGCACCTTTTGCAAAGCTGGGCAACCCACACAGGCATGAAAATGAGCAGCTAGACTGATGACAGAGCTAGGCTTGACCCACTCTCAAGGATCAAGTTCATCAAGCCCCCATCTGGAAGTCACCTTCCAGGCCAGGCCAGGCCTGGCTCTGAGAAAGAAATCACCCCCAGTAGTCTCTGAGCAAACACAGTGTCTGAACAATGGAATGGAACCCAACAGGCTCAGCCCACTGTCCTAGAGTCTAGGACAGAGGAGCTGAGGATGGGGGAGCTGAAGCCCTTAAAGGTTAGCAGGGTTCCAGGAGTCAGAGAAGGGGGCAGTGATCATAGAGGAGTGCCAAGGCAGAAAGAAAGGAAGTCAGAAAACCAGAAAGAATCTGAAGCCCAAGAGGACCAATGGTAAGGACTAGCCAGGGTTAATGGCCCCTATACTGTCTGCTGGGTATGATAAGGCTGCTCATGAGTGCTCAAAGTGACCATGGTTTTGTCAAGTCAAGAAGGAACTCTCCAAAGATTGACCCCCTACTGGACTCAGTCACTGAAAAACACTTGCCCCTCAGTTGGGCCCTTGTTGATTGTGACTAAGCCAGGGCTGCCTCTTTATAGGGACCTCCTGCCAATCTGGGCCAGGAGCCTGGTACCAGCAGAAAGAACAGAGAAGACCAAGATAGTGGAAGGAACACCTCAGGAGACACAGGCTATGTACAGAAGAGGCCAGGAAGCTGGCAAGGGTTGGGCCTGGACCTGGACATGGAGTGACAGACCTGGGCACCTCAAAGCAGGCCATGCCCTCCTTGCCAGTCTCATGCATACTGGCCCAAATGGCTATTGCCTGTCACAATGTGAAAATGAAACATGCCCTAACCCTGGGGTCCCTAGCCTGACCACACCCTTCCTGGCAGATGGTTAAGCCCTCTCTGATAGCACCTACCCCCACAGCTGGGGTGAGAAAGGTACAGAACTGCACTCTTATCCTATCTCTTCTTCAAACCAGCTCTCACTATATCTGCCTCCCTGTAACTCTTGCTGTGGGTCTTGGTTAGCAGTGATGCAGTGCCCTACTTTGGGACAATCAGAAAAATTGGCTACTTCAAATGGAAGGTTAAGAGTAGCAGAGGATGGGAGATGGTGCATGGGTGAATCACATGATTTGGGGTACATGAACCTACTGGGGAACTCTCCTGAGTCCTTTGCAGTAAATATCATCAATGGGCCTAGGTTCAACAACAGCCAGGAAGGAAGCCACAGTGAAACCAGATAGGTGTGATGGGCCTAGAGTTGTGCCCAGGAAGGCTTGTGCCCTGATCAGCAGCAGATAGACCCCCTATCCTGTCTCCTCTCCCCACTCCCAGAATCAGAAGCAGCTGAAGCAACTTAATCTGAATGGAAATTCCCTGTCCACATTGCCAGGTTTGCCCTCCTCTTCCTGCTGGAGTTCAAATGCAATGACCACTTCCTACAGGGACTACAGTACAGAAGCTTCTGGAGTGCAGGCAAGGAAATGGACCAGGGCAGCTGGAGGAAGCAGCAAAGAGACACAAGCAAGTGAGCATTAGAGTTAGTTCACCCAGTCTCTCTGCCTTCCCCAAAGGGCTCAGCAAGATGCTGATTCTGGGGGTGCAAGGGAATGAGTTGCATGACATGGACATCTCCCCCACAGACTTTTGTCAACTTAGCACAACTCCACTGGTCTGTGGAGATGTCTGTGGGGCATTTTCTTGATTAAAGATTGATGTGAGAGGACCCAACCCACCTCAGATTGTTTAATAAAGCAGACTGAGCAAACCATAAGGAACATTCTCCCATGATTTCTGCCTCAGTTCCTACCTTGCCTTCCTTTCATGATTGACTATAAACTGTAAACTAAAATAAACCCTTTCCTCTCCAAGTTGCTTTTGGTTATGGTGTTTTTATCATAGCAATAGAAAGCAAACTAAAACACTTGGCTTTCTCTCACTTTTTTATTTAGTTTAGGATTCCAGCCCATATGGTGGTGACACATTCAGAGCAGGTCAGGTCCCCAGGTCTTCTCTGGAATTACACAGACACACACACACACACACACATACACACACACACACACACAAGTGTACCTCACTAATATCATAGGTGCATATTAATCAAAACTAAGCTGGCAATCAAAATTAACCATCACCTTGAGTAAAGCCCATTCTTTCTTGGACCACACCATCTCCTGAAATGTCTACCACCATTTGGTGGTGCTTTCTGGAGATGTGAGTTGTGGAACTCAGGGGATCCATGGCCTAATCAGCTGGTGCTCCCAGGATCCTTGGCACAGATGGAGCAGTTTGCTGTCCTCATAACCCTTGGTTCTAGGAGCTGAGTATCAACTTCCTCAAAAAGATGATAAAGAGTATGTTGAATTGCAGCTATATCTTAGTGTACTGGGACCCAACAGCAACTAGCTGCAAGAGGACTGCCTGGTACCCCAGGCATGAATCAATGTTCCCTCTCCCCCTGTGAGTGTCTACTTTAGGGAGATATTCCTCTGACAGGCATATGGAAACCAGAAAATAAAGAAAGACAGGGAGTTGGGAAGAGAAGTATAGACGGCAGTGTGGAATCAGGAAACCCCAGAGGACCTAGAGCATAGGCCTGTCTCAGATGGATCTTCAGGTCATCTCCCTCCATGTTCACAGCCCTGAGAAGACTGGGCCCTGTCACCACCTGCTCCTTTAAGCTGTTGCCAACTTCCAAGTCCTCCCCACAATACTCGCCAACCTCAAGATCCTCCTCCTTCAGCCGTGCCCATGCCTGCCCTGCTGGCACCCAGGAAGCCCATGTGGAGTTGTGGTGACAGATGGAGCTGGCCCAGAGCTGGTTTTAACTGAAGGGACATGAAAGGGAGGGGAAGGGCAGACACAGCGGTGTTCTAGAGCTGCCATCTCAAAGCCCCACAACTGGTGTCCTAACATAGAATCAGGTATGAGGGAGTGGACTGTCTCAGAAGGCACTAGAACAAGATCCTCTCCTCTGATTTGGACAGTTGGTTGTGGTGTTGGCATGAACAGACCTTTCACCATGATAATGACCAGAGAGGCTCCAGGCAGGGTTAACAGGACAGTTTGGAAAGAGTGGGACAAGCTAAGGGAGAATGGGAAAGGGCTGTCAAAAGGCTAATGAAGGCCTGCTGATCACCAAGACAGTACAGGCTGGAGTGGAGACAGAAGGCAAGGGTCCACAGACAGTCCCACCCACCATTCTCAGGAGCAGAACCTCCCGCCCTGTGTCTTCTTGTTCCAGGAAAAAGTTACCAGGACGTTTGGGTTTAATTATCCTTTTTTTCCTCTCCCCTTCTTGCCAAGGGGGCAAAAGAAAGCAGACGGCAGCTTGGGAGGGGCCACCCAGCTGCTTTCCACTCCCCAGTCCGCCTGACGTGGGGCCTGGACAGGGGGCTGGCGGCTAGTCAAACACAGGCTCAGCCCCTGCTTCTCCTTGACTGCAGCACTGTGGTGTTTCCCTGCTGATGGAAGGCATGAGCACTGCAGGCTGCAGGGATAGGAGACGGAGGAGCTGCCCCAATGGCTTGCCCCACTTGGAGGTCACTGAAAGAAGCCACCTTTCCTGCCTTCACCTATCCTGGCCATCACCACCCTCTATTCTTTCAGACTTGCAAGGACCAGTTCTTGCTTGCCAGCAGAGTCCACCATGGAGTAACAGGGGCTCATAGTGGCCCAGAGGAAAGTGGTGATCTGAACTGCACCCTCAGTCTAGCCTCCCTAAATCCCTCTGCCCCAGTTGATACCCAGTGCTCATGCTCCACACTCACTCTGATGCTCACTCTTGCTCTGCCATCTGATTTCTGCATGGTGGAAGCTAAGCTCCATTTGATCTTTGCATCACCAGGACAGTTTTAAATGCCCCCAGTTCTTCACATGATTGATGAAGGCCTTTTCATTCAGCAAATGACACAGTGGAGTTCAAGGGACTGGGGGAACATGGGTTTGCATTAAATGTAATAAATGCACCTCATTCAAGCCTCTAGCAGCCCCCACCTCCATCTCAGATTTAAGCTACATGCATTGAGAGTACTGGCTCTCTTTTTCATGGAGTCCCTGGCCAAATCCTAGATGCTGCTTCATCAGTAAGGGACTCAGAGACCTAGTTCTCACGGCTCATCTGAGAGCCTCCCCACATTCCTGTCCTCATCAGAGTTCTGAATCCTTGCAGCTGGCCCTACTTGTTCCAGGAACCATCTGTAGCTGAGACCTTTATTAAGTTTCCTATCCAAGGCTAGGATGCCTACAGTGGCATTTGGTTGCTGGTGCAGGTTGATAGAGAAGCCAAAAAGACTTGTCTTTTTGTCCTAAAGCAACCAGGAACTGGTGACTGCTGCTTTGAAGACCCTTATCCATTCCATACCTCATGACCCTTATCCTTGTCCATGCATACCCATCCCAAAGTCAGCCTGCCCAATCTCCGGGGTCCTACACACAATTTGAAGATTGGAGACTAAGATGCAAGCAGGTAAAACAATTTGCCCAAATCTACACATCTCACTTCCTGCAGGACCAAGTTATTACTCATGTGGCCTGATGCCAGAGAAGGGGATGGTGGCATTCACTCATCAGGTACTGGAGACTAAGCCTTGGTCTGTGAAAAGCCAGCCCTGCATCAGAGGTCCAGTCCTGAGGATCTAGCAGTGACTGTCCCCTGATTCAAGTCATTGACTGACTATCTAACCAAGATGAGGCTACAGTGCCAGGGTTGTGATGGCTCAGGCCTTCTAAGTCCTAAAGACAGAGCTGGCCAGTTGTACTGGGTTGAGATTATCACTCTAAGGAGTCCCATGGGGTCATAGAGCCCTTGTTTTCCCTGTGTTAAGGGAGCCACAGGGAAAGTGGCTGAGATCCCTGCATCAGCTTTTACAGCTTACAAGACCAGAGCATTAAGTAACCAACAGGTAGAATGCAGCAGGAGAAAGATGATCCCTGACTTCGGGGATATGAACAAAAGAAGAACACAAAAAATACCTACTATAGAGCCTTAGCGCTGCCACCAGTTCCAGCTGGGCTCTGGGCCTGAGAATTCAGTCTTGCTTTGGTCTCATTCTACAGCAATTCCCTTCTACCCCCACCACTACATTCTCAGCAGAAAAAGGACAAGCAGACTGGGGGTGGGGGTGACTAGGAAACTGGTGGAATGTTTGCTTTGGACTCATCTGTGCATTCCTTCTCCTCTGGGGTCTGGGCCTACAGATATGGCACTTCCTGTTTGGGCTGGGTCAGAGGTCAGCAGCCCTGGAGGCAGCAGATCTGCTTTCCCAGCTTTCTCAACTCCTCCTCCCCAGCCTAACCACCCCAATCCCTGCCCATCCTGCTCTAGCCTCCTCCTAGTCTATCCAGCCCCACCCTCTACACAGTTGAGTTCAGATCTAAAAGGCACAGGGTGTATGGGATAAGTAGCCCCGACATCTCATCCTTTCAATTCTTAGCCCTGCTGAGCTAATGAGTCAAGGAGCCCCACTATGCGTCACGGCAGCAACTTCTAGGCCTTGTTCTAGACCTTTGGAGACAGGGTGGGAATCCCCTGCACAGGTGGAAAAGAGCAAGGGACAGGCACCCCTCCAGTTTGTCTACGAGGCTGCTATGGACTGGCAAAGCCTGGGGCAGAGAGCATAACTGCTATGATGTTCCCAACGCAGATGCAGGGAATTTAAATTTAGAAATTCTATGAGATGATTATTTGACTCACCTTCTGATCAAGGTTGAAATTATACTGTGATCAACATAACCTTTACTAGCCCTAAAAGCAATCTGAATTGGCCTGGCACTGAGTTGAGACAAAGGGAACATGACTTCATGTCCCCAGGTTATCACTAATTAAGGACGCCCAGCAAACAAGGCACAGCTGAGGCAAGGATGATCCCATTTTCCAAGAGTTATGGGATCTTAGAGCTAGGAGATCTCAGCAGCTGGAGGCCAGGGCCTTCAGTTCTGTGTTAACCTGGGAGGGGCTGACCAGCAACCAGAATCCCCAATCAGGGATGAGTTCCCCAGAATTCTCTATTCCCTGGTGCCATGCTTACTTCGCCTACTTTTCCCTTGGGTACTCACTTGACAGGTACCGGCAGTATAGGCAGTCCAACTGGAATCTCAGGGTACTGAGTCTCTGAAAGAATACAACAGTAGCAACCCAGCTGGTGGTGATGTCAAAGAAGGGGTCCCTGGGGTCATGGGGGCAAAAAGGAGAAACTCATCAATCTCCAGCTTAAGATGGGATACTGAAGTAACAGAGCAGGACTGAAGGCAACGGCAGTGGGGACGAGAAGGGTACACCTATGGCTGTCAAGTTCAAGTGGAAAAAGAGAATGGGGAGTAATTCATTTGTTGGGGCTGACATGTGACTGCTGCAGGAGACCTCAACAGGACCGTGCACCTCTACTCCCTTTCTCCTGTTCCCATGCAATCTGCTTTCCAGATTCTATAGCCGACCAGCCTCCCTGCCTTGCCTCCCCACGTTCTATTACACCAAACCTCCCTCTTACTTTAGACACATGGTCTGGATAAGCTTTGCTCAACATGACTTGGTACCTAGGCCACCCCTGTCCAAGCTCCTACTCCCATAGCAACTGCCACCACCTGGGAGATGCTGGATTCTGTAGTCCTCAGGCTATGTACTGTCCTCTGCCAGGTATCTGTCTTGAGGTACTAAAAGATAGGGCCTGGCCTTTCCTTCACCAAACCTACTAGATTGTAGTAGAGTAACTAAAGCCATCTGTGTTCACAGCCATAGGCAGAGTCAGACTGTGCTCCTAAGGTCTAGCCTTATTTAAAGGAAGAGCACAGGGTCCCTGGTGCCTCCTTCTGGCTCCTCAGCTTTGAAGACCATCCACACAGGCCATAGTACAGTCCTGGTCCACTTTCTTTCTTCTGGCCATGCCCCAGACTGTGCCTCTAAAGATAGCTAGACACACGCAGACTGGGCCTTCAAGGAGCTCCCTTCAATCCCTGAAATTACAGCCCTGGTGGCCCAGAAGGGAGAGATGCTGTGTGATTATGTCCTCAGGGGAAGGTCAAAAAAAGCTCATAGCATAGAGAGTGCCAGCTTTTACCAGCCACGCCTTGGCCATCAGCACTGGGAAGCTTCAAGATAGTGGAGGCTCGATTCACTAGCACTATCTCATCTATCTCTTGGGTGTGTTGACAGAAGCCCCCCCCCTTACCAAGCATTCATTTCATACCATCTTGAGGATCCAGGTCATCACTCAGTTCTCACTCTAGTGGTAGCAGGGGCTGCCTTCTACAGTCTGGGGGTCTCATACCCTGACTCTGTTCAGCCATTGAGGGCATCAGCCATGAACATAGCCAGAAGGCTGAGAGTGAGCTCTTATCAAAGCATTCCGGGCAAGATACTTGCTAAAGAAGTGGCCCTGGGCTGGGCGTTTGGGGTGCATGCCTTTAATCCCAGCACTTGGGAGGCAGAGGCAGGTGGATCTCTGTGAGTTCTAGGCCAGCTTGATCTACAGAGTGAGTTCCAGGACGACTTGCAAAACAATACAGAGAAACCCTGTCTCAAAAAAAGTGGCCCTGATGTGCATGTGACATGTCTCTGGCTGGGGTTTGTCCTGGAGGCTGAGGCCTCTTGCTCAGGACTGGCTTTTACAGGAGCCCTGCAGAGAGTGCTGAAAGGCAGCCTAGGATAGTGCCTTCTCCTCTGCAAGTCTTCCTGTCCCCTTAGGCTGGTATGCCCTTATTCCACCATTTCTTTGATTCTCCAGGCATGACCTTGCTCACAGTCCAGCAGTATGCAAATTCCATGTGGACAGGACCACTACATGTTCAGCTTATGCACTGTGGATTCCCTTGAGTTCCCAGGTGTTCTCTATGTCTTTTCAGTTTATTGAGAAGCCAGACATTGAACTGTCACTTAACACAGACTGCCAGAACAAACAGAAGCATTTTTCAGTCATCCACCAGGTGGGCTAGACACACTAGGGAAACAGGACAGGAAAGGAACCAAAAGAAGAGCCCTGAAACCCAAAGATTCATGAGGCAAACAACTGGGTTGGCAGGAGCTCTGGTGGGTAGGAGTCCATGGGCAGTTTTCTCAGCAGCTGCCACCTCTGCAAGGGGCACCTGCCAGGATTCTAGGCCCTGTGTCCCCCAGGGATTCTTACCAAAAGTCATTATTTTATACTCAGAGAACCAATGTGTTCACAGTTGCCCTCTGGGTGCCCTGTCTCTCTCTCAGCAAAGCCCCCCTTTGAAGCTAGGGCAAGAACAGCTGCAAACCAGCTGTAGAGGAACAGGCTGCAGCCAATGCCAGGTACTTTTCCACATATTCCAGGCTGAGATTCCCTTGTCTAGGAAAAGGGGCCTCTCCTTTTCTTAGCTCCCTTTCTCCCTGCCCCTTCGACAAGACATGGTCCTTTATGTATGTCCCATACTGCTAACTTACCAGCTCTTGCCATGGGGTCTTCCCTGGGAAGGCTGGGGAGTAACTGTTTAATGATAGATGGAGGGCTGGCTACTCAGAACAAGAAGCCAGCAATGTCTCCTAGCCAGGTGCCCAAGCAGTGCAGGTGCCCATGGCAGGTGCTCTCATAGCAGTACAGCTTCTCCCAGAAGCAGTGCTGGTTGCTCAAGGATGTGCGTTCCATCCATCTAAAGAGCTAGCTAGGCTCCTCCTTACATTCTTGTAAGGACAGCAAGAGAAAGGGCTTCCTAGGCTGTGAGGCAGGCCAGGGAGACAGGGTAGCTCCCCAAGATAGCCTTACCTTCCCTAGGCCTCTGGAGAAGTGTACAAGCTAGAGTTGAAGAGGTATACAAACACAGAAGCTAGTCCCTGTCTAGGGTAGCCTGAAGTCACACACAGAGGTGTATTGACAATGATGATCTCTGTCTTCCAATCCCTGCACAAGGCTGCCACTGGTTCCTGAGGAATTAAGACAGCTGTGTGGTTGCCTCCTCCTCAGGAGTCCTGGGGGTCTCAGGAAATGCCTGTTCTTCCTTCCTGTCCCCATCATTGCCCCCACTTTCTTCTCTGCCTCCCCCAGGCATGGGAGGCCGGAGGGCAAGAGATTGCTGCTGCTGTTGCTCTGTTCTGCTGACCAGCAAGGACATTCTGTTCCCAGCCTTTTTACATCTGGGGTCCAGGTTGTTTCCTCAGAGAGAGCTGAGGACAGAGAACTAGAAGAGGGAGATGGACAGGCTCAAAGACTGAGAGACACTGCTTGGTTGCCCTGGGAGTTGCCCCCAAATTAGAGGGCCAAGCTAAGTGACTCAATGGGCCTTGGGCTGGGCATGCAGTTATAGCTTATTGCAGACTGCAAACCACAGACAAAAGGGCCTTCCAGGCACAAAAACTGTATTTACGGAAGTGCTACCCCAACCTATCCCCCAACTTTGAGGAAGAACCTCAAAGTGCACAGTGTAAGTATCTCCTGGCCTCCATGCAAAGGGTTATCTCCTTACTATCTCAAGCTCCATCCTGGAAGGTTGTTGCTCACCCTCCCCCCTACCCCTATGGCGCATTTTCTAGGCTGTTCCCTATACCCTCTGCAAGGCAAAGGCTCTCTTCTGCCTGTCCTAGTCGGCTCACTGTTTGTGGTTCCTGCAGAAAGTCTTCCTGAGCCTTTTTCTGATACTAGGTGTAGTAGCCCTGTTGAGGCCAGAAACAAGAACACATACCTGCTTACATGTGGAATTCAACTATGTCCTAGGTGCCCCTAGTGTACTGGTTCTCAACCTGTGGGTCATGACCCCTTTGGAAAGTTGAATGACCCTTTCATAGGAGTCACTTAAGACCATCAGAAAACACAGATATTCACATTACAATTCATAACAGTAGAAAAACTACAGTTATGATGCAGCAATGAAAATAGTTTTATGGTTGGGGTCACTACAACATGTATTTAAGGGTCACAGTGTTAGGAAGGGTGAATGCTCTAGTGGACCATGGCAGCTCTATCTTGTGATCACTATCTCCAGGGTACTTCTCGACACTGGAGTTCTTAGAGGCCTGAATAACAATTCCTAGAACAGTGTAGGCTCAGACCAAGTGGTACCATATTCAATAAGAAATTTGTAGACAGATGCCTGGGGCAGTGAATATATATTCTGTGAGGTTTCACCCTTAAAATAAAAATATTGACTAGGCATGGTGATGAATACCTCTAATTCCAACACTCAGGAGGTGGTGGCAGAAGGATCAAGAGTTCAAGGTCGTTCTAGACTACATAGCAAATATTAGTTCAGCACGGGCTATAGGAAATTCTATGTCAAAAATCAAATCAAAGCATAACAAAAAAGAAAGATTTGCTGAAATATACTCACTGGGTGTAGTAATAGCCCACTTTTGAAATTTCAGCATTCAGGAAGCAGATGCAGGTTACTTAATGAGAGTTCATCTCAAAAATAGAAAAAAGAAGAGGTAAAAGATTCACTCAATATGTTCAGAGAACTTTTATTGTTTCAAACTGAAGACTCAAAGCTGATGAGATGGCTAAGTAGGCCTGATGATCTGAGTTATCTGGGATCCACATGGTTGAAGGAGATAACTCCCAATGGTTGACCCCTGACCTCTCCTCACATGTCATGACATGCATACCTACTGATTCCCCACACACAAAATAAATAAGACCCATGTATTTGACTGTCACTCTTCTATTCTCCCTCATTCCCACCCATCTGCTATTTCTGTCTCTATTGGAGACCCTATTCTGGACATCTAACACGAACAGGCCAGATATATTGTGGTCTTTTGCCATTGGCTGCATTCACCAAACAAAATGTTCCATATGTGCCTCAGGCCTGCTTCAACCTTACTGCCTCTCTGCTCCTGGTCTCTGCTGACATGTTTAGCCCAGATGAGTAGGTATCAGAGGGCAGATCCACTGGAGAGTAGGGCCAGAGTTAATACAAAGTGGCTGTGAATTGAGAATCTGAGGCTCCATGCTGCTCTGTAGCTTCCAGGATGTTACTGTGCCAATTGCCAGATATGTTTGAGTATGGCTGGAACAAAAGCAAAAGCCACGGGCTGGGAGTAGTTACATGGAAAAAACATTTGCTTGGTATACACAAGACCCTGCTCCCATCACTAGTACTAAAAAGACACAAAGGAAAGAGAAAAAAACCTGAAAGACACGAACCAAATGGTACATGGTAAAGTACTGTGTAATTCCAGCACTCAGAAGGCAAAGACAGGAGGATCAAGAGTTCAAGACCAGGTTCACTTACATAGTCAGTTGAATAATAGCTAGGGCTACATGAGATCTCGTGTGTGTGTGTGTGTGTGTGTGTGTGTGTGTGTGTGTGTGTGTGTGTGTGTGTGCGCGCGCACACACGTGCATGAAATAGTAGATAAAACCAACAGCCTCAGTCTGGAGGGTTCTGTATGCTCCCCAGTCTCCTGGTCTGGACCATAAACCCCAAAGGCATCCACAGGCCACTCTGTAGGGGTTGAGCAAGAAGATGAGGGGCTTGGTTCCTCTTCTCCAAATCAGCTTTGGCAGCTTCTCAAAGGCTTCAGGGAATTAAGCCAAAAAGGCCTCCAGGATCTGGGGGTAAATCCCTCTTTTTAAAGAAGGAGGGGATGGGGAGCCTACAGAGCCTCTAGGAGCCTAGATCAAGCCCTTCCAGAAGCCTACAATCCTCTACTTCTCTGATCCCCAAACCACCCCCTTGTTTCAAACCAGGCAGAGGTTCTGGGTGGAATTACGACAGAATTTCTGGGCCATTCACTATCCTAGCCATAAGGCTACCTCCCCTCATCTCCACTCACTTTCTTCTGCCTGACAGCATTCCAGCAAGCACCTCAGTGTCCCCATTTGGGCAGTGGAAAGTTTGACTCTGTGAGGCTGTCTGCCTGGAGAGGTCTGTCCCTAAGTAAGTGAGTGTGTGTCCTTTCAAACTGTGCTTGAAGCAGGGGCCAGGGTGGTGGGCATGGGGGGAGGGGTGCCACACAGCCTAGCTGTCTACAAGAAAATTGCTTCCTTTGAAGCTGCCAGGGGGGGCCGGGAAACCTGCCCTCTCCCTCCCAGCTGCCCTTCCTCCCTCCTTCTCTCCTCTGCTCCACCAGCCCCCTTCCTCTCCCTCTCCGCCCCCTCCCTGTTCGTCCCCTCCCTGTCGGCCCGCCCCGCCCAGCCGTTAGCCTCCCTCCCACCTCTGTCTCCCTCTCTCCACGAACTGCCCAGGAGTGAGCAGCTGCTCCCGGTTGGCTCTGCCTGACGACAGACACAGGACAGCTTGACATCCTAGTCCACCAACTAAGCAGCCTGCACCTGGCTGCTTCTCCCTCCTGAGGTAGGGCCTGCTCTCCACAAAGATCTCAATCTGTCCTCACTGTCTTCATTGCTGGCTATGCTGTCACCTCACTAACTCAGAGATGCTGGCAATCCTGCTGCCCCCACAGCAGCCTGCTGCATCTGCTTCCTCAATCTGTAGTCTTACTGTCCCACTATCTGTATCTCAACTGCTTCATGACTGCTCTCTCTATCCTCCAGGGCACCCACCAAGGGCTCCTGGTTTGTGTCCTTTCATCATCACTCTGTGGCCCCCTTGGTCCTTATCCCATTTCTGCCTCTTCTCCACACCTTCTTCTGAACCTTTTCCCCACCCTTCCTTTCCCTTTCCCGTCTAACCATGCTTAGTTGCTAAACTTGCCCACGCTTTGCCTCTCTGCCTCTGTGGGGGTGGGCAGGAGCTTCCCCTGGGTTGCTGCCTAGACCGTCACTGAGGCAAAGCTGGGTGACTGGCATGCTGGCTCTACCCACAGCCCTACCGCTTCATGGCAAGGCCTAGGCACACCCTCCACTCCTAGCCTTGCTTTCCTAGCTCAGCCTTTCTTGGGGACTTGGCACCTGGCCAGGTCAGGGAGGATGGGGCCAATGCAAAACTTAGCACTGGCATAGTCTACCCTTGGAGTAGTCTGAGAGACTTGTGCTCCCAGGTATACCAGAGATCCCTCACCCTGGTATTCCACACTTACCACAGATGAATGCCCTGCCTCTACCCTCTCCTGGGCAAGGTGTGGGTCCACAAAGCCCCATCTATAGGGGACCTGGGTTGCCTGCCTGGTTGCCTCAGTCCTATCTGTTTCCAGAACCCTCTTCAGCTGAGATGCAGAATGGGCAGAGGATAGGATGGATGTAGAAAATTGAGCAATTGTGTCATGTTCCCAGGGATATATATGGCTTGGGGCCCAGAGGGGCCTGTCAAGGGATTTAGGAGGGGAATCAAGAGAGACAGTCATTTGAGCATTAAAGGCTAGCAGGAGTGGAAGGTTGGGGGACCGGAGTACCCTGTCACTGCCCCAGTGGTGGAACCAGGTTCCCATGGCCACAGGACCCACAGGACCCTGCAGGGAGGAGCTAGCTATAGGTGGGGCCGGCAGAGGAAATCTTCATTAGGCCAAGGACGGCTCCAATTTCATCTTTAGGAGCTTCTGCCCATGCTCCTTTCTGCCTTGTAATGACTGGGATTGAGACAAGCTGAAGATGTTTCCTAGATGCCAGCAGGATTCCCAGGGACTGGCATCTGGACATGCCATCAGTTGCCTCTGCCACCTACACTCTAGGAGACTTGTGGGTGGGCTGGGTACTCTGTGTTGAACATGACTGTGTGTGGCTGCTGAAGGCCAAAGGGGGTGAACATTTGAAGGCAGTCAGTGTGGCTATACTGACAGGAGGGTGTCGGTCTACCTTTAAGCCACTAGGGCAGGGAAGCAGGAGGAGGCTCTGAGCCACCCACAACACCCCCTGACTACCTTTATATCCACCATGACTCCCTCCTGCTCTTTGTCCTGCTCTCAAATGCCCCACCCATCTTCTAGCCTGCCCCCCACATCCCAATAATCCTAGAAGCAGGCCTTCCCCATTGTAGGAAGGCCAATGCGTTGTAGGGAGACACCCCAGCACAAGACCTCCCTCACACCAAGAAGTAGGGGCAGTGTGAATGAATGCTCCTGGATACTCAGGTGTGGACGGACCAAAGATTGCAGGGCAGGTACAGTCCCCTTCTAAAGACAAGCTAACCAGGGACTTCTGCTCTGGCCCTGTCTGCTGAATTCTGGAACAATTGACATTATTCCTCACTCCTTCCTCACCTCCAGGAGACTCCTATTCCTTTGTGCTCGGACACACTGGGCTGGGGAAGGCCAATATCATCACATATCACACCTTGGCCACCCACAAAGTCCTTTCTGCAAATGTCACCACTGGGGAAGAGAGAGTGTGATTCACACTTGTTCCACATTCAGACCTCAGACCATCCTCCGTCTTTCCAGAAAATAACAGATTCAGGTGTTCTCAGAAGAAGTCTAGGGTTTGCTGGGCCAACTATTCTGGGGCTTAAGAGTGGGGCTTTGTCTCTTATCCTCTTCCAGGCCAGTAAGTTCCTTATCCCATTTTTATAGCCCACAGTCAAAGGCTCCTTGGATATAGCTGGGACTTCAGGTATGTCTCTTCATTCTGATTACCTTCTTCCCTGATTCCTCATTGCTCTAAGTCCAGAAAGTCCCAGGTGTGGCCTTCTGTGGGCTTTAGTGGCTACCTGGCTGCAAGCATTCAGGAACCTAGTCATCCTGGGAAAACTGAAAATGAAAAGGCTCATGGCCTTTCCCGCCACAGCCAGAGCTCCTGGCAAGCAGTGCAGGACCTGGCATTGGGGAGAGAGTTAAGGAACCCCAAGACCCGGGAAGGAAGGGGGCCTTCTGGGATCTGGAAACCTATTGCCTTGCTACTCTCTCCTGAGCAGAGAAAGACAGACGCAGTGACATCTCATCCTGACTTTTACCTCACCTTGAGGCCGTGAAAAAGTTTGGGACAAATTCTCTTAGCCTCAGTTTACTAGATGCTTACCAAATGTTAAATATGTTATGGTCACTTGGGTTTGGGTAGGTAAAGAAACTACTTGAGTCGCCTTTTCCACCATTGAGAAGTGACAGCATCCTCCTCTCCTTTAAAAATTCTAGCACATGGTGAGTAGGAGCCCAGACTTTGTTGGTAAGTGGGAGGAGGTGGGCAGACACATGGGCTAAGTGCTAGAAAGCCTCCAACTGATCAGGGTCATCTGCTGTCAGGCTCCTTTCCAGAAGTTTCTCAGTAGGGTGGGGACAAGCAAAAGAAGACTCTGTCTCGATGCACCCACCACCTCTGTTTACCCCAGACACCTCTGATACCAGCATTTAGGTATAGCCCACCCCTAAGTCTGTTGGTGAGGTGTATCTGACTTCATAATTACTCTGTCAACGGCAGGACCACAGGTAGTAAAATGTGGTCCTGACTCTGCTCATCTTGCAGCATACAGGAAAACACACATTCCATCCCTCCAGTTGACACCTAAATGTTAGGCTGGAAGTAGGTGACCTTGGAGGGCAAAAGGAAGCAGGTCAGTTGTCAGCTTAACTTTGATGATCAGGAAGGAAAATACTGTCAAGTGTCTCCTGTCTCACACATTTCCTCACCTGCACAGTCCCAGGAACCCAGCAGAACTTGGTAGAAGGCAGCATCTTCCATTTATCACAGTTGGGGTAGGGTTGTTCAGCAGGGCCCAGTGCACCAGGAGGAGGCTGCTGAGACTACACTTGGTGTCTGCTCCTTGGCAGCTGTTGGCCCCACATCTGTAGACAAGCTCCCATAGCCTGCCAGACCTCAAGCCTGGCCCCTGCCGCCCTTGGCCTGGCCTGAATGCCTGGCACAGCCCTTCCATGTTCTCAGAGACTGCCAGCACGTCTTGCTTGGCTGTGGCCTGGAGCAATCCTGCATGGAGAACTACACTGGCTTTCAGAGGAGCAGACAAGGAGGGCCCTATTGGAGTGGGGGCACAGGCTCCAGGAAGCCCATTCCCTTCCCTTGTTCACACCTGTGGTCGCCGAGCTCAGCTCACCATGATGACCACTTCTTTCCTTTGCTCAGAGCTCACTGTGATGGAGCATATGGATAGCCAAAGAGGCCAATGAAGGGAACCTGAGGCCCTGAAGCCCCAGTAGCTGGGGAAGTGGGATTGGAGGAACTTTCTATAGGTCTTAACAGGGTCTGTCCACAGAAGATCCCTTCCTGACTTTACTTGCCTCCTCAGTGTATGGAGATAAGGACTTAGTTTGACGGAGTTGAGGAAGGGAGGCATATTAGACTATCTGCAGCACCCCCAGTCACCGTAACCCCAGTTAGTGATTTTCCACCCATTCCAGGTCTCTGAATTACCTACTTACAGGCTCAAAATTTCCCAGAAGTTACCCTCATTCGTGGACCAGAAAGCTCAGACCCTAGAATGACTACAGATCGACTCTGTTCAGGCTGAGTAAACGGAGGACTTGGGAAAAATCAGCTCCTCTTTCTAGGCCTCAGTTCTCTATCCATAAAGTGGCACTACTGGTGGTGTAGACATGAAGAAGGCCTACCTACCCTCTGCACTCTCCTAATTTAATGGAATCCCTTCTTTGAGCCCTGTGTCTGGCATGCCCACCCCCTTCCCTGCAGAATATGAATATTGAATCTTGTGCCAGTTTTCTCAATGAAAATGAGGGCTGCACTGGGAAGCCTGCCTGGTCCCCACCCCTTAAGCCTTGAGCCCTGAAAAATCAGTCAAATTCCATCTTCCCTCTGTGTGGGCCTTGAGCCTCCTATTCCAGGTTGAGCCTGGACTGGAACTGACAACAGGCTGTGATCTCCCTGTATCTTTCTCCTAGCCCCTTGTGGATCCCCACACCAATTTCCCCTCAAATCTAGTCATATAAACCCCACTAGGGTTCTGTAGCTCCTTTCTCTGGATGGAGGAGCTTGTAATCTGAACAGGCTGTAGAACCTACAGAGGAGCATCATGCCCTGAGTGTCTGTGGGCCACACAATGCCTCTCAGGAGGATTCCTGACTGGGAAAAGGCTGCCCTGTGGAAATCTCCCAGCCAGTCTAGTTCCAAACTATCTGGGTTGGTTCCACTAAGATAGTCCTCTGTCCAACTATGTCCCTTATCCATGTCATCTTCCCTGGTTCCTGAGTTGTCCAGGTGGACTGAGGGTCCTGTAGATCACCTGGGCATAAATTCTAACCTTGATTTATTCATCCTCCTGCAAGGTAGCTTTGGCAGAGAGGACAGGCAGGTGGGTGGGCAGTGCGGGGGAGGGGGGAGCAGTGCCTCACTTTGTACTTGCCATTCCATCTTTCTCTCTTGGCCTCCCTTCTGCCTCTTCTGCCTTCTCTGGACTGCTCTTGCTCCTCCCAGCCATTCTGGAACATCTGCTCTAGGCAAGATCCAAACTCTGTCCTGGAGGCTGAGAGACAATTGGTCTTTGTAGCTACTCTGGAGTCAAGACCTTCTGGGGGATGTCCTGTGTCTTGAGGCTACTTGGAATGAATGAGTAAGGCTGGACACTCACCCACCTGAGGACTTCCTGTCACTCACCCAGCTGAGGACTTCCTGTGACCTAAGGAGTTATCACCATACCCACTTCTGCATATCAAAAAGAAATTGAGCCAAGCCTTTGGCTGTGTACCCTACTTTGCTGCATGACCTTTGGGGATCAGAAAGGGTGCTCTATTCTCCCCAGGAAGCAGCTTGGCACGAACCTCTGGACAGGCCCTTCCGTCCACTGGTATAAGAAGGGAGCCAGGGCAGGCCATGAGAACTACTGGGGTTGGGTCTCTTTGTGTGGATCCTACACACACACACACACACACACACACACACACACACACACACACACACACAAACCTGGGACTTTTCAAGCAACGGCACAGGGTGAGATTTCTTCTGGGGTTGACATCCATTAGATGAGCAGTACTTGAACACCAAACTGGGGTGTTCAAGCCCCCCCATGATTGATGATGAGAATTTCAAACGAGCAGTGATCCCAGGCCACTCATCAACTGGACTCCTTCCACTTTTGCCTCCAGCAGTTGCGATCGGAGGGCCTTATTTAGCACAAATGGAGCCCCAAATGTCCCAGCTTCCCCACCAAAATGTACCCCATATAAGGCACATTGAGCTGGGGCTGTTTCAAGTCTTCAAGAGGCTGAGCTTCCTGTTCACACATGCACCAGGACAACCCCAGAAATCCAAGCCTGGGAGTCTAGCAAGGCCAACATGGATTCCCTATTTAGAAGATGGGGTGAGCAGACCAAAATAGCTTGAACCTTTGCCATAGAGTTGGGCAAGGAGTGGTAAGAGAGGCAGGGTCTCTGACCTTGTCCTGCAAACTAGGTTCTGCTTGGATGGTTGAATGAAGGAATAAGAAACAGGAGATGTGGGTGCTGGGGACAGGCTCAGGCAGCACAGGGTCTCCACTCCCACCCCACTGCCTCAGCTGGGGGGCCTCTAGACAAGCCTAACCCTGCCCTGTTACTATGGCAGCAGCCTGCTCTACTTGGGATCCTCTCCATGATTCCAGGGCCGTGGGCACAAAGAAAGAGCAGAGATACATGTGGGAGAACCAAGTTTGCAGGCTGAGTCCTGGGAAATGAGAGGAAAGGACAAGTGCTGATCCCTAATTCACAGGGTGCTCTCTCTCTCTCTCTCTCTCTCTCTCTCTCTCTCTCTCTCTCTCTCTCTCTCTCTCTCTCTCTCTCTCTCTCTCTCTCCTCTCCTCTCCGAGCAACATGGGCTCTGTGGAGGGGCTCAGACTGTGAAGGGAATGACTCACTCATCACACAGTTAAACTAATAGCATCCAAATCTTCCAAGCTCACTCTCAGAAGGGATTATCCAGGTGACTGGGATTCCAATAGCTGGGCTTCCTCTCAGCCTCCAATTGGCCTCACTGACCTCCAACCCTCAGGCAGTGAGGCAGGCTCTGGCTGACTCAATGGTGGTGGGCGCTGCCTTGAACTAATTGGAAAGACATTTCATTGCCCAATGAAACTACCTCCTTCTAGGAAGGGGAGTGAAGTGGAAAGAGTCTCCCTCTTGACCAGCCAGTGCTCCTACCCTGACTGGTGCCTCTTACCCATACCTCCTCCCTCTGCTGCCTCCTAGTCATCCCTTGTGAGGGATAGGGAAACACACTGCCAATACAGAGACGCTTCTCACTTTTTGCTCCCAGGAACATTCGCCATGAGTCCCCTGTGGCTACTCACCTTGCTGCTGGCCCCGAGCCAGGCCCTGCCCTTTGAGCAGAAGGGCTTCTGGGACTTCACCTTGGATGATGGGCTGCTCATGATGAATGATGAGGAGGCTTCAGGATCAGACACCACCTCAGGTGTTCCCGACCTGGACTCTCTCACACCTACCTTCAGTGCCATGTGTCCTTTTGGCTGCCACTGTCACCTGCGGGTTGTTCAGTGCTCTGACTTGGGTGAGTTGCTAGGAAGTTTAAAGTGAGGGTGTCTAAAGAGGTATAGGCCCTTTAAATGGGTTGTCATCCTATGAGACGGGTGTAGAATGGTAGGGGTGGGAATGTTATGAGTCACCACAGGCTGAAGTATTATGGCATGCATGTTTGAGGGTGTCCATGTGAAAAGCAAACAGAATGTGCAATCTCTAAAGCTGGCACCCATTATCTCAGAGTCCCTACATTTGTACCAGTGTCTCTGAGTGTGTCCATATGCATGTGTGTGCCCACCCTTTACACCTACTGTGACAACAGACTGGATGAGTACCTATGCTGATGATGGTGCTGGTTCTCAGGTCTAAAGACTGTGCCCAAGGAGATCTCACCTGACACCACACTGCTAGACCTGCAGAACAATGATATCTCTGAGCTCCGCAAGGATGACTTCAAAGGCCTTCAACACCTCTATGTAAGCCTCCAGCTGCCCCCTGCCCTTTATGAGGAGCTGGGAAGAGTTTGATGTTCCTCTGGCTGGGAGGAGGGTTCTTCACAAATGGAGCTGGGAAGAGGGGCTGGAACCAATGGAGCTAAGTCTGGAACTGCCTAGAGTGAATTGTGTGTAGGGGTGTCTGTTCCCTTTTTGACCGAAATCTTTGTATTTTATTGGCTCCTCTGAGCAACACAGAAAGAATAGATTCCATTGTAGCTCTTGTAGAAAGTGAGTAGCAAGCTGTGCCAGACAGTAATTGGCATTCCCAGGGCAGCTTGCCATGCACTCTGCTCACAAACCTCCATGAGACTGAACAGGTTCAGATGTTTCTCAAGTACCATCAGTAGTACCTTCAGTAGGTGGAGGAAGAGGGGAGGTGGAGTCAGGAGCTGGAATGCTCACCTTGGTCCCCTGCCCTGCCTCAGGCCCTTGTCCTGGTAAACAATAAGATCTCCAAGATCCATGAGAAGGCCTTTAGTCCTCTGCGGAAGCTGCAAAAACTGTACATCTCCAAGAACCACCTGGTGGAGATCCCTCCCAACCTGCCCAGCTCCCTGGTTGAGCTACGAATCCATGACAACCGTATTCGAAAAGTGCCCAAGGGTGTATTCAGCGGACTCCGGAACATGAATTGCATTGGTGAGAGTATTCTGTACCTTGGTGTCAGGCATAAAAGCGCCAAGTTGAGGAGATCTCCTCCAGACAGGGCAGCTGGTTACTGGACTGTCCTGTGCAGTCATGGAGAAGCCCTGTGTGCCTCAGAATGTTCCAGAAGCTTGTTCAGGACACGATGAAGGAGACTTGGGTGACTTTAACTACTAAGTTCAAGAAATAGTCTCAAAAATAGTCTAAAAGAAGATCACTATGTTTCTTGAGAACCCCAATTTCAGTAAACATTGTGGGTAAAGAGAGGGTATAGGACACAGGAAGACTGGGCTGGAAGAGAGAATGGAGAAGGGCAGCAGGAGTTGGATGACTTTCTGAGAGCCCTGACTTTATCTCTTAACCTCCACACTTTCCTCTTGCTCCCCAGTTCCCAGAGGCCAAGAACAGTGCCACAGCCCTTGAACTTAAGTCATCTTGAACAGCTGGAGTTTTCAGTTAGTTAGCTGGACTTATTCTTAAACTGCTTTCTAGAGGAGGTGGGAACAGCCAGAAATCAGCAGATTCCCAGTCCAGAAAAGAACAGGCACCGATGATGTGTGGGATGCCACTGGTTGGCTCCAGAGTAACAGAACTTCTCTCCTAGAGATGGGTGGTAATCCCCTGGAGAACAGCGGCTTTGAACCAGGAGCCTTTGATGGCCTGAAGCTCAACTACCTGCGCATCTCAGAAGCCAAGCTCACAGGCATCCCCAAAGGTAGGAAAGTGTCAATACCTGGCTTCCAGGAGCATTGAAAGGGGTTTGCCCAGTGTACTTGATCAGGGCCCTCTTCCTGGAGCAGAGAGTGGGCCTTCCACCTGCCCCAGACCCTGTACTTACCTGCCAGTATACTCTTCTGAGTAGATCTCCCTGAGACCCTGAATGAACTTCACTTGGACCACAACAAAATCCAGGCAATTGAGTTGGAAGACCTACTTCGCTACTCCAAGCTGTACAGGTGAGGCTGTGGCAGTCCTTGGGGGCTGCGGGGCTCCATCAGCAAATGAGGCAGGTCAGAAGGTGGCACTCATATCCTACTCCGCTCCAGCCTCTGAAGACTTTTAATTTACTTATCTTCAGGCTGGGCTTAGGCCACAACCAGATCCGGATGATTGAGAATGGGAGCCTGAGTTTTCTGCCTACCCTGCGGGAACTCCACTTAGACAACAACAAGCTGTCCCGGGTGCCTGCTGGCCTCCCAGACCTCAAGCTCCTCCAGGTGAGAGCTGCCTCTCTGAGAATGAGTGCATACACAACACCAGCCTCTAAAGTTCCTGATTCCCCTGACCCTCCCTCCCCCTTTTGTTTTCAGAGGCCCAGGGTAGACAGCATAACAGCACCTAGATTACTCTCTGAGCCCAATGTCATCCATACCTCACTGCAACAGGGCCCACTCTCTGTACTGAGGCAGTGCTAACTCCCATCTGTGGGCTATCTTGGGAAGGGAAGTCTCTCTCCCTGACTTAGCTTCCAGCCCCATAGGCAAAGTAGGTCTTTCACAATCCTGTTGTGGACTTCAATTTTATATCAGTTCCCTTTATAATGGGGAAGCACAGTTCATGCCAGGCTGAGAGCACCCTCTAGTGGTCTGTGTCCTTATTACCACCAGTGAGCTCCTAACCTAAGGCACCATCTTTCCTATATAGATATCCTGTCAGGATCAATGTTTGCTTCCTACTGCAGCCTCATTCTACCAAACACAGGCCCACTCCACCCATCCTTACTCACCACTCACTATACACCTCATCCTGGCCTGGGGTCAGGCATACACCGGTACCCTAATCACAGCCAACAGTCACGAACATACTCCAGTCCTCGGTTGTGGGAAAATTCACCAACTAGCCATTAAAGAGTGACCATGAAATGACACTAGGAAGTAACTGATGGAGTCCAATGTGGAGGTACACCTGACCCCTCTTACATCTGATCTCCATCTTTCCTACAACCTACAACACCTACCCGGCTGGGACAGACTGGGAAGGGTGGTGTGTGGCACTGAGCCCTGATGAAACTCTCCAGCCACATTCTCTCTTCCCCCAGGTGGTCTATCTGCACTCCAACAACATCACCAAGGTGGGCATCAACGACTTCTGCCCCATGGGCTTTGGAATCAAGAGGGCCTACTATAACGGCATCAGCCTCTTCAACAACCCTGTGCCCTACTGGGAAGTGCAGCCAGCCACCTTCCGCTGCGTCACTGACCGCCTGGCCATCCAGTTTGGAAATTATAAGAAGTAAAGACAGTAGTAGCCACCATGGTGGCCTTGGTGAGAGTCTCTGAGGAACATAGCCAGACGTTCCACAGGGGAAGGGGAAGCAAAAAAGCAAAGGCCCCCCCACATTTGTTCCCCAACACTAACTCACTGCCCCACCACAGCCTCCCCCTGGCTCCCAAGCATGCACAAATGCACATGGCCTGGCCCTTTCATCCATTCCCCTCAGCTTTTGAGATTTAAACACTCACTTATATCCCCTCAAAGACTCCCTATAAATCTTTCTTGTTGTCCATTCTGACACCCAGGTGTCTGTGGCAGGAGGAGCTGGCAAGTGAGGACCCAGCACACTGGCGCAGCTACTGTCCCATCCAGGCGTGTATTCCTCTCTTCCTCGCCCATGTCTGTCCTATAGCTCTCTTGGGCTGTACCTGCTGCCCTTGGCCTCTGGTGATCCCAAGTTCACCACCTGTCCATCACAGACATTACTAACTCCTGGATCATTCCTTCTTTCCAACCCTGCTATGCTTCCTTCTAAGGTGCTTGATATCCCCCCTGTCATCTCTCTGGACCCAGTTCATATCTCTCTGTATCTCTCTGCCTGTGCCTTTGTCTGTCTCTCTGTCTGCCTATTTCTGTTTCTGTCTGTGTTTGTCTATCTGACTCTCCATCTCCTCTCCCTCTCCCTCTCCCTTCCCCTCTCTCTCTCTCTCTCTCTCTCTCTCTCTCTCTCTCTCTCTCTCTCTCTCTCTCTCTCTCTCTCTCTCTCTCTCTCACACACACACACACACACACACACACACACACTGGTCATCCCCTAGGCTGCTTTCTGCTTCATAGGTCTCTGACCAGTCCCTGCACAAACAAATCTGGGGTAAACTATCTCCCTGATTGCCCTGCCCAGCCCTGGAGGATGCTGGAAGGTGGACACCCAGAATCCTGTCCATATTGTCCAGGAAGGGGGCCATACTCTGTTATCAAAATGAGGAGCAGGAAGCTTCCTAGCCCCTGGAGAAGCTCAGCAGGCCACCAGAGCCCCCAGAACCAGTTTGCATTGGTCCATGCCCTGTCCCCAAGATGGGTAGGTCCCTCTCCCTCACCTCTGGGTCCCTGCTGTGGTAGGGGTTGGTGAGCAGTTGCACCCAGCTGGAGGGAGTGCAGCTTCTGAGATCAGTTGTCTTTCAATTAAAGAAACACTATGCAATACGACTCTGTGTGCTACTTCTCTGGGACATCAATGGGCATTAAGAGAAGAGCAGAGGTAAAACAAGGGACATCCTCAGGTCACCTCCAAGGTTCTGCCTTTCCATGACTCCTTCCATTCCTTGCCCTCAAAAGAAGGCCCTTCTCATCTTCAGATCCAGAGCTATAAAAGCACATATCAAGTGACCAGACATAAGGCCTAGGCCGTGTCTGCTTTCCCCCTCCTTTCTTGATCCTTCCATTTCCCCAGATGTTCTTAATCTGAACCCAAAAAGCAGGCCACACCTAAGGTGACATCTGTCCTCCCAGAGTGGAGCATTTGACATGCACTTTCTGGCTATGGGATACCAAGGTAAGTCCTACTCCCTTCAAGAGGGGAACTTCAATACCCCAGCAGAGCCCTGTCTGCCTGTCTAGATGGAATTAGGGGAACCGAGTAATTCCAGAATCCCATTGCAGTCTTGCAGTGACTAGTACCCATGTTAACACTAGGAAAGAGCAGAGTGGAGGAGCCCTTGGCATCAGGCAATATATTGGTGCAACTAATTCGGCCAGCATAGTTTGCCTTCCCACCCAGCACCCCACAGGTCCCTGAGAGGCCAGAGCAGGCTGCAGCTGTATCCTAAGGGAGGGTCTAGTTTGGGTTCAAGGAAGTATGTCCAATGGGGACACAAGCTTCTCTGGAAAGAAACAGATCCCCTTATGGCTGAAGTGGACCCAGGCTAAGCACGAGGCCTCCTGCTCAGGTCATGGAAACTAGGGCTTCCCTATGCAGTGACAGCCAGTCAGCAAAAATAGAGCAGCCAAGGCCAGTGTGAGTGACAGGCCAGAAGGGGTTCACTCAGAGGCATTGCTTGTGGCTTCTCACACACAGTCATAATCTTATGCCTGTCCTGGAATCCCAGGCACCCAGTGTCTCCAGATTTCTCCTTTTGGGGATGGGAGGCGCCACTCAGTGTGGTAGCCCAGCGATAGAATGTCACCCAGTAGCATCATAGCACTATTCTGGGGCATGTGCTCCACAGCCTGGCAATCTCTGCTGAGCTGGGCAGACACAGGGCAAGGGCACTGGCCCAGGGCCAGGAGTCAGGGCCTCAGTCTGGTCCCCGTGCTGGTGTGAAGGAGGGGCAGGCAGCAATGAACCCTGGTAGAGACACAAAGATGAAGCCTTCAGGGTGTTTCTCTGGGGTGTGTTCTGGGGGCAGGATTTACCTTGACAAGTCCTCCAGAGCCCTACTGCATCTGTTGTCCCTTTCTGCCTCTCTCCCTGGTTATTCACCTTTCTTTTCATTAGACTTTTTCTCATTTCTGGAAAGTTTACAAGACTATCCTCTGCAGGTCTCAGATCAGGGACCCAGTAGGGCAGTGCCACCACTAGCAGCTCAGGAGACAAGTGTTACATAGGTGTTAAGTTCAGAGAAAGGATTCCACAAATTATTAGATAATAATGAACAGAAAAAATCACAATGAAGCCAGGTGTTGGGGTGTGTTCTCTAATCCTAGCAAGAGAATCAGGAGTTCATGGCTGACCTTAGGTACATGAGACTCAGTCTTAAAAAAAACCACAATTACATTAAAATACTACCTGGGCCCGAGCAGCCCCCTACCTTCATTTTCATTGGGTTGGAAAGTAGGGTTGCGTTCTGGGAAGTGGCTTTGTTCATAGGAAGCCTCATGGCGGCAATTATGCAGAACATAGAAGACAAGTTCCAGCCCAACATTTGTTTGAGTATGAGTTCCTGGACTTTGGGACAGACTGACTGAGGAGTGAAAGGAAGACTACACTGCAGGGCCATGGCACCAAAGCAGCCTGATGTGCTCAGTGGGGAACGATGTGAGAAGGGAAAAGGGCTGTGAGCACCACAGCCTCCAAAGGTGCTGGGCATGTTCATATGTGACTCAAAGCAGAGGCCAGCTGAGCAGCCATCAAACTGGTGAAGACTCATATGTGCAAACATATATGAAGACACATACACAGAGATAAACATGCATGCATACAGTCACAAATGAACACATACACAAGTACACACATATATAAACAAGCACATATGCACATACCAGCCTATGTATGAAGACAAGAAGCACATGTGCATAACGCGCATAGAAATTCAGGCAAGCACACTCTAATGATACACAACATATACACACGTGCACATGAACATACATAAAACATACATATATCTACACAGGCATGCCTTTCATGCACTGCATAGAGAGAAACACACGAATAGACACATGTAGAAGTAAACACACAATTACATAATAACATATGTCATTGGGAACAGCTGTTCTATGAAAAAGGTAGTTGCCAAGGAGTAGCCTTTAAGAGGCATGGGGCTAGGATAAGGAATTTTTCTGAACACCACCTACAGGTCAGGTGCCTTCTGCATTCAGTGGGTCCCAGCTGGAGCCTAAGCCAAATCCACTACTTAGGTTTAAACATGTCAGATCTTGTAGAACAGGCAATTGGCCAGGTATCCTGGACCACGGCCGAGATGGAAACAGGGCCCCTGGGTAGAAAATCCCTCCTTGAAGGGCCTGAGTAGATGAGGTGAAGGACGTGGAGTGGGGGCAGCAGGGCTGCTCTGAAACTGTGGACCCTGGCTCTTCCAATGGGTTCCAGCCTCTTCTGTGCACTCTGGGATCTCTTGGAAAACAGATACCATAGGAAAAGGTAAAGACTCTATTCTGGACACATGAAGTACAACCTTTGTTTCCCTTGGCTTCTGAGGATACACATACCTTGGGAACCCAGAGCAAGGTAGCCTGGTGCTGAAGGGCCCCAGTGTACAAGGAGTGACTAGGGAAGGGGATAGTTGCCCTAGATAGTGAGCTGTCCCTGCTCAAGAGGAATGGTGTTTAAAGAGTCATTGTGTGTGTGTGTGTGTGTGTGTGTGCAACAATACACATATTACATATGCACACACACAAAAAAACATAGCTGAACAGAGCTTTCCAAAAGTCTCAAGTGTGGGAACTATTGAGGCTAAACAAGCTGGGAAGTGGCAGGTATGCAGTGTATGCATCTTTCTTTGAAAGATGACTTTCCTTGGTGACTAAGTTGAGGTTTATGAGTATCCTGGAACTTCCGTGATAAATTGTTGCAGCTGACCAAAAAACAGTATGTTATTCCTTTGTGGTTCAGGTGTCATGTTGGCAGGGCGGTACTCCCTGATAAGGTCTAGGAGGACACATCATGCCTCTTGCAGCTCCTGGTGACTCCTTGTCTTTTGGCTCCTTCACTAGGCCTCCATTGTCCATGGTCTCTTACTTCTACATGCACTGGAAATTTCTCTATCTTAGAAGGACACTATCATTACACACGGTGCCTGCCCGAATCACCAGAGAGCATCTCCTCAGCCTACCATCATTCACTTAGTCACATGTGCAATGACCCTATTTTCAAATAAAGCCCATTCCAGAAGTGGCAATCAGCCAGGATGACTCTGGGTTTCGGTCAACCTGTTCCAGGGCTGCCAGTGGACGTTGACCCTGGAGCCTTGGAGAGGAGTTGTGGTGTCAGCCTGAAAAGAGTAGACATGAAAATGGGGATAGGTCAGGGTCTACCAAAGGGACCAGGGCATCTGGACCTGACTAAGAAACTGCTATCCCAGAGCAAACTGTGACAGCCATACCAACTTGCAGAAGAAAAATTGAACAAACAAAGGACATAGCCTGGAAGCTAAAGGAAGCAAGGTGGGCAGCCACAGGGTCCATAGAGAAGAGGTGTCTGGTAGTACTGACAGAGTGGACTGAGGACTCAGGAAAATGAGAGGGGCTGGACGCAAGGAGGCCAGACCGGAAGGTGGCCAGTTGGCTGCTTCCTGCAAATTTCTTAGGCTAAGGTGACCTTTTTTGAGGTTGCCCAGGAGTAGCCATGAACAGCACAGGAGAACACCAAGGTTAGGTTCTAGAGTGGCAAATTCAGAAACAGTGTGATTAAGGGTAGGACCAAGAGGAGGAGGAAAAGGACAGGGAGGGAGCAGAGAGTCAGCCTATGGCTGTCCCCATTGTGAACATCTCTGGATCTGGCTCCCTAAGAATTTCCAATGCAGGGAACTGGGGCAGAGATTGGTGTGAAAAAAAGATCAATTTTCTAGCAAAGTTCACTAGCAGCTGGTTCCTACCTCTTGTCACTCTGGACTCAGGGCCCTCAAGACTGGCACAGGACAGCGATACCAGGGACCTACCTATGCTGTAAAAGGCCACAAAAGGGACCCAGTCTGGTAAGTTGTAGGGAGGGAGGCTATAGGCCTCAGAACATGTTTCTGTCCTTTTGGGTCCTCTACCCTCATTTGGTACTTCATTTCCTGAGTTTCTCTAAGTGGTGTATCAGGACTCTCCAAGCTTCCATTTGTTTTTGGAAAACGTGGGTGACAAAGAGGAGCAACAGGAAAGTGGATAGCTCTGGCTGCTCTTCAGGGAAGTTGGGGCTTATTCCACTTTTATTTCCCCTATTCTAGGCAGTGGAAGTCATGGAGTGTGCCAGGGAGCCCTGAAGTGTACCCAGTCCCTAAAGAACCAGCTGCTGATTCCAAGCATGTCCCAGTTCCAGGATAGCCATGGGTCCTCTATCAGAACCAGTGACACTTTGCTGGGGTTGGGGATGGGGGAGCTCTCACATGGAGGATAGCCAATGCCCAAGGAAAGCCACCTCTGTTGAAACAGAAAGATGGGGCATATGGGGGGCAGTATAGGTGTGAGTAAACATGGGAACAGAAGTGTGAAGTAAAGTGAATGAGCATTAGTGTGAAAAGTTGCTGTCTAAGTGCTCATGTGTTAATATGTGTGTGTTTGTGTGTGTGTGTGTGTGTGTGTGTGTGTGTAAGAGAGGGAGGGATGAAGGGAGGAAGGGAGGAAGGGAGGGAGGGAAACCAGTATGTGACTTTGTGAATCAATAAGCATGTGTGGATGAATGTATGTAGGCTAGATTTTATGAGTGAGAAAATGTTTAAGTGACCTTCTGTGAGTGAGCATGTGTGATACATGAGTACGTGAATGTAGGTATGGATGAACATGTGAGTGGTGCTTAATGAGTGTGAAGGTATGGAGTGTGAGTGAGCATGTGCATGAGTTGGATGAGCATGAGCATGAGAGTGTGTGAGTGTGGGTAAGGACATGTGTCGGATGAATGTGGAGCGGGGTGAGCTTACAAATATGCATGTTGGGTGATTGTGGTGTGGGCGAGAACGTGAATGTACATGTAAGGTGAGTGTGGACCGAGGGTGAGCATATGAGTGTGCATGTTGGTGAATGTGGGTGGAATTAATATGACAGTGTGCAGTTGACTAAATGTGGGATGGGCATGAGTATGTGAATGTACATGTTGGTAACTGTGGGTGGGTATGAATGAGTGTGTTATGTTGAGTTAATGTGGGTAGGTGTGAATGAGTGAGTATATATGTTTGGTGACTGTAGGGTGGGGGCAAGCACCTTAATATATACGAGGGGTGAGTGTAGGGTGTGGGTGAGCATGTGAATGTGCATGTTGGTGAATATGAGTATGTTGGGTGAGTGTTGGTTGGGATGCACACATGAGTGTGCTTTGAGTGTCTATGTTGGGTGAGTGGGTGAGTGAGCACATGGATGAACATATTGCATGAGTGTAGGTGAGCAAGTGAGTGTGAATGTTGGGTATGGGATAGGTGTGAATATGAGTGCTCATCTTGGGTGAGTCTGGAAAGGTTTGTGAATGTGCATGCTGGCGAGTGTAAAGTGAGTGTGAGTGTGTGAGTGATCATGTTGTATGAGTGTGGGGTACCAGTATGAGTGTGTATGTGAATGTACAAGTAGTCTGCCTGTGCTGAGAAGTGCCCTGGCTTTCTAGGACACCAGGTCTCACTGGCTTTTCCACAGAAATAGCTGCTTCCTAGGGGAGAGGCTGGCTATAGAGGTGTGACCCTCTCTGGCCCAGGGTGAGACCACAGTACTTCCTTCCTGTGCTTTAGACAGGTGTCTTACACAGTGGCAGCTCCTCAAAAACTGATTTCTCCAGAACCATGTTATGTCATCCCCAGTTAATGGTTCCACCATATCCCTTATCGAAACAATCTGAGCAGTCACTGTCTGAAACTACTCCCTTTAAGTAGACACCATTGTATCCCTATCACCCAAACCAGTCTGGTTCATAGGCTCTCTTGGTACCCTGTGTGTCGGACTTCTCCCTCTCTCCACCAGCTCCAGCAGATGTGACACCAAGGTTTGGCCCATAGCCTTCTCCTCAGTCCTTGCCCCTCCCTGTTCACAGACAAAAGTGAGGTAGGATTTGGGGTCAGCTTCTGCTGTCCCAACAGCTGGAAAGCTCAGTGCTACAAAGACTAGTGGCAGGTGCAGCTCCTCTCTGAAGGTCCAAGGGCACACAAGGGTGACTGCCCTCATTGGTATGAATGTGTGTTGGTGGGTACATGGTGGTGTCTGTTCTAGGGTGCCCTGTATTGGTCTCTGGATGTCCACTTGTGTGTAGCATAGCCCACTTTGTCCTAGAGAATGGTGTTTACTTGATAACCTTTAGGGGGTCATGGAGTAAAAATCTGTTAATAAGGTCCAGCTTCCCTCTGGAGAAATGTGTTTGAATGTCTGCACTCCAACGTTTACCAGGCAATTTCAGAAAACCACCAACCACAGGAACCCACCAAGAGCCCAGAGACCCCATGCTGCAAATCAGCTCCAAGCTCCAAGGGTAGAGGGTCTTGAGAGGTATGGCAACCTGCTGCCCTAGTCACATGCGGGGGCTTTCTGCACCAGCAGTTTCTCAGCCCCCACTTTCCAACCACGCCCACTGCTATTCTGCCAGCGTCCTTGGAGGGCCATGCCAGGCTAGGAAGTGCTGGCATTCCCTTGCATCCTGAGGGCAGAAGGGCGCACACCGGGCACAAGGCTCAGGAGCACCTTGTCCCCAGAGCCTGTTCGCCAGTGCACTGCCCCTCCATCCGCTCCTCCTCCTCGCCCCCCCCCTCCGTCGTCGTCGTCGTCGTCCTCCTCCTCCTCCTCCTCTTCCTCCTCCTCCTCGTCCTCCTCCTCCTCCACCACCACCACCACCACCATCACCACCGCCACCACCGGCTCCCTTCCTCCCCCACCCCTTCCCCCCCTCCCTCCTTGCTTAGAGCTGCGGCTGGAGTCAAGCGCACAGCGTCGCCTGCCGCTGCTGGTGCGGAGCTTGGGGAGCATTCAGCCACAGCCCTCGCCTGCCGCGGAGGGTCCTGCTCCGCACTGCTGGTCAGGCTGCTCCGTGCCCAGGCCTTTCCGTCCTTGGAGCGGATCGTTGGCCGCCGGGCACCCTCCAGCAGCGACAGCGACAGCCAGAGCAGAGGCCGCAGTGGCGGCTGTGCCCATGCCGGGGTAAGTGGTGCCTAGGGCGCACAGGCGGGTGCAGAAGGGGTGGGCGCGCTAGCAGGCGGGGGCGAGAGGGCGGCCCAGCAGGTGGCGCGGCGGCAGGTGGGGGTGTTCGCAGGATCCCGCCCAAGGCACCTGCTCCTAAGGGTTGGGCCTGTGTGTCCTTGTGACACCAAGGGTGCGAGTCACCCCGGGGCCTCAGAGCTGGCGGGCAGCAATCCACACCCGCACTCGCACCCGCACCCTCACCCTGCACCCTGCATCTTGCGCGCACGCGCATCTGTGTCTAGAGAACAAGGCCGCTGGGGGCTGCGGGCTGCGGGCTGGGGCTCCAAGCAGGCATAGCCAGGGGCGCCAGGGGCGTCAGGCCTGAGCCAAGAATCTAGCCCTGCGCACACACCTTCCCAGAGCTTCGAGGCAACCCCCTCCCCCGCCTCTTTGCACTGTATCATCCTCCCCCTCACATGTTCCTGCACTGTCCCCTGCACGCCCACATAGCTGCCCAGCTGACCCTGCCGCTGGCATGGACAGTGCCCCTGGCAAATTGGCAGAGCCACACTTGAACAAGTCCTTCATTTCTGCCAACAGCTGCCTTCCTCTCCTCACCTGTGTGACCTTGGCCAGAGGGTTTCTGTGATGGGGAGCCTCAGTGTTCTTGGGGTTGAAGGCTTCAGCTCTGCTATTCTGGGATGTGGAGCCACTGGCAGCATCTCTGGAGCTCAGAAAGACCCACTGCTCTCTATGACCTGGTCTCCCTATCCTGTGAGCCATTATGGGGCTTAGTGACTCAGCCAACAGGGGAGAGACAGAAGGGTCTCTCATGCCTCACCTGGGCAGGACAGATAGACAGGAACTCCTAGACTGGGAGCTCTGGCCAAAGGCTCAGGGAGGGTAGGGGAGTATGCAAGCACCCCTTTGTCACTGTTCTGATGCAAGCTAGGCAGGACCAGGATCTTCCCCTCACCACTGAATGTTTGCCACCCCAAGGCCAGACCCTGAATGAAGCTACTACCTAAAGTGTGCTTATACATGATCAAGTCCCCACCCCAGTCTCCCCTAGCTCTGTACAATGAGTTTGACACCAGCCTGGCAGATGCCACCTGCACATACATCCCCACCCATAGTTCTGGGATCTCTGCCCTCGCCTCTCCTGGTACGTGACCATTTTAAAGCAAAGGTTTTATTCTTAATCTACATGGACTTCCCAGGTACCTGACACAGGCTTGACGGAGTGGGCACTTGGTTCTTGTGTAGCACATTCATGACCTTGATTCTGCTGGATCTGCAGACTCACTAACAAGATGCAAACCCTTGATATCTGTTCCCATTTCACAGACAGGATCATTGAGGCTCCAGGAGGAGAGAGACTTGGCAGTACATTGAGGACATACATGAAGGTCCCTTTGTTTTGTTTGTTTATATATTTGTTTTGTTTGAGCAGATACCTGGAGATGCTCCTGTATATCTATGGTGTATGTGTGTATGAATCATACCATATCATCCCCCTTCCTGTGCTCCTCCTGCAGCCGCTCATGGTTCTAAGCAAGTTCCTGGACCCCCCTGGTGGAGCCGTCCATCAACCATACTCATGAACTGATGTGTTTACACCCACCGCCGCCACCACCACCACCCCTCATAGACAAGGAAACTAAGGCTTCCTGGATTGGAAGGGGAGCTTGGAGGAGTGGTCTGAGAAGCTTTCAAGTTCCATTGGGGCCCAGATTAGGCCTAGCAGAGGAGCCAAGGGTGAAACTGACCCCTCAAGTCTGCACCAGAACAGCCAGCTGGTCAATTGGAAGGAACTGGGCATTTGTGGTCCTGGGGCATCGATTCCCTGCCACTAGCTTCGAGGCAGGAGAGGGCCAAGGGCAAAGGCAGTCTTGATCAGCTCCACCTGCCCTAATCCCAGCCCTGGCAGGTGGTGTGAGTGGAGGGCAGTCATGCTCTGGCACAGAGGAGGTGAGGCAGGCAGATGGGAGCAGGGCAGACGTGGGAGGGGGTTCCACACTGAGCCAGAAGGAGAGTCACTCCTTGGGGAAGGGAGGCCCCAAGGCTGAGAGTATGCTTGGAAGAGCACCAGCCTCAGCAGAGGAAATGCCACTATGAACCTCTGGGGGCAATCAGGGGCACCAGCAGCCTATGGCAGACACCTATCTTGGTCTCTGATGACAGGAGCTTCAGGGTATGGTGCCAGCTCTGTGCCTGATGGTTTCTGTGGTCTTGGATGAGTTCCTTTCCTTATCTAAATCTGAGGAGCAGGGTGCACCTTTCAGGTCCTACATTGACATTTCGGCATCCCTAGCTGGAGATGCTAGGTTGAATCATTCGAGAGAGAAGAACTGAAAAGTTAGACATCGAGTAAACAAGGCAAACTAGACAGTGAGCAGGACAGGGCAGCCTGTGGATCACTGCACACTATTCCAATCTGGCCTAGCCAGCCAACAAGAGAGGCATCCAAAGGGGGTTGTAATGAACTGCCAAAGCACCATCTGAGCATGGCTGCTATAAGATGAGCTTAGTTGGACTCTTAGAACTAGTGCATCCAGGTCCAACTTCCTCCAGCCATTTGCCCTGATCCTCCCCAACCACCTCTCAGGCAAGTTTGTGTACTGTATATCCCTCCTGATTTTAAACTGTTGTAGCCTGTGGTTCAGAAATGGTTGCTGTCTCCATCCTAGGTTACTAGCACATCAAATGGCAATAATGATGACACCAACATGGGAGTCACCTTGTGCCAGATACTGTTCTGAGTGCTCCATAGACATCCGTTGTCCTGTCCTTCACTGGCATAATAGCTGAATAATGGAAGTGCTGTTATTATCTACAGTTGACAGGTTATCAGACTGAGGTCCAGAGAAGTTAGGTAATTTGTTCAAGGTCATGTAGCCAGACAATGGCAAAACCACCTGTTATCCACCTGTTATGATGTCTTCAGAAGGTTTTTCCATTGTCTCTAGAAGTATGTGTTGAACTTTACTGAAGGGAACACTGAGTGTTTGAGCTGACTATCTGGGAGACACTTCTGGGGTAGAGTTACAGATTCTTAGGAACGTTCTGCAGCTCAGGAGCTAAGATATTAGTATCCCCAGCCATGTCCCCACTGAGAGAAAAGGATGAAAGGTGATTTCTAGCCATCCAAAGCACATGGAAAATGAGTCACTTTCAATAAATTATCTATGAAAGGCCTTCAGAGACACCCCTAAAGAAAAGTAGGTAATGAGTGAAGATCCACATTGTGGCACCAAAGCTCCCTGAAGCCCCTCCAGTACTATCTATGACTTCAGAGGAAACCCTAGCTGTACCCCAGGCTGGCCATGAGAAATGAAGACCTGTAATGCACAAATGGTTCCTCCTTGTCCTCTGTCATTTCCCAGCTCCTCACTGTAGCCCTCCTCTCTGCCATGACTAGGCCAGTGTAAGTCAGGCCAACAGTGCCCAGCTGGATAGCCCTCCCCTGCCGGGCTACCTTCTGTTGGGTGGGCAGTGCTGGCAGCAGACCTGGGAGAAGCCTGGGGAGAAAGGTCTGAGCTACAAATCACCAGAACAGACAGAAGGAGCTTCTGAGATGTAAAGGAATTTGGGCATCTGAGATTGTGCCAAAGTTGGGAGGGGAACAAGTCCAAGGTCACATAGATGAGTAGATGGCAAAACTGAACTAGAACTACATAGTTCAGGCAGACTCTTGGAGCTAGCAAGTAGATTCTCTTGGAGCCCAAAAGATTTCCGGAGACTTGTGCCCAAATCAAAGGTGTGTAAATTGGAGATGCTGTCATTTACCTCAAACTTTGCTTTTTGTTTTTCTTTGCAAATATTTATTTTTTATTTTGTGTGTGTGTGTGTGCACGCCTGAGTGTTTGTATGTACACCATGTGATTGTATACTATGTGCATGCAGGGGCCTGAGGAAATCAGAAAGGGGCATCAGATGCCCCAGAACTAGAGTTACAGGCAGTTGCAAACCACCATGTGGATGCTGGGAACCAAACCAGGTTCCCTGCAAGAATAATAAGTGCTGTTAAGCACTGAGCCATCTCTCCAGCCTGAATTGTGCCTTTTTCAAGGGGATATAAAACCCACTGTTTTTTTCTCCCAGGAAATGGACAGCATCCCTTTAAATGAGTTCTTTCATGAGCCACAGTCTTGAGACACTTTCTAAACCAACAAGTGGCAATTTAAGTAAAGTGAAATTAGAAGTCCCTGTCTTTGGTTGCAGTGAACATGTTCCCATTGCTGTCCAAAGGTGCCATCTCAGTTTGCATGCACGTCTAAGTCCTGACATGGGTCCTAAAACCACCTGTACCACACTTCCTTATGGCCTTCAAGTTACTAGTAACCCAACTACGGCCAAGGCTTTCCCAGAAAACCTGCCAGAAATGAAGCCCTTGATTATTTCTGGTCACTCATGAACATCTGCTGAAGTGTTCTTTGATTAGCTAGGCTCTGATTGGAGGGCTTAGCAACTGAGAACATAAGGTGGTAGGATGAATGTATTCTATTGACAAGATGTGGTCAGATATGCCAGGGGCTACATCTTATTGGTGTGATGGCCGTTGGGGACTCTGTCCCATAATCATTCAACCATATTTACAGTGACCCTTGTGTCCTGTGTCTGCTTCTGTGAGAGCAGTGAGGAAAGCAAACGTGCTTCCAGCCCTCGCATAGCAAATGTGCTTCTCTGTGCTCATCAAAAAAATCTGCATCCACCAAAGCACCCAGCTGGCTGGATCCAGCAGCTTGGGTGGAGGCTGTGAGACTAGGCTGCAACTCTCAGAGCTCAGTCCCCAATTTAACCCCTGCCCTGCCCTTCTTGACTAAGAAACTCAGAGTTAGCTAGACAGCCTGAGCTCCGTCATCTCAGGAGTCATACGGGACTGGTGCTTGCTAGTTTGGTAACAGGAACTTGAGAATATCTAGTCATTCCATCATGCTCAACAAAGTACTACTCAAAGTTCCTACACAGACCCTGAGTCACTCTCTCCCAACTCCTCAAAAAACAAAATAGATCCA